CAGTTGCTTTTTAGAGCAAAGCAGAACTGCTTTTTAGTTGGTCTGATAACTGCTTCTTGATGCTAGCTGCTGCTGCGCTGCCGGCAAGAGTTTGTCCTTAATGGTGATTGCTGTTCTACATCAGAGAGTTTGGCTGATCTCCAGATCTCCATTTTCTTCATGCCCAGTGCTCAAAGCAGAGCATGGGAGACCCTGTGCAGTGCAGGGGTTTGCCCTTTGGGAATGCTTCCTCCTGTACACCTGGAAAAAAGAGGGTAAACTGCAGCCAGATGAGATGCTTCCTTTTGAGTCCTATAAAACCGTGGTGTTTAGGTAATGCTCAGTCATCCTGTGAATCTTACAGTCTTGCTTTTGAGAAAAACCTGCAACTTAGATTTCCCTAAGCAAAATTCCAGTTTTGCTGGGAAAAGTTGCTGGTTTTAGAGACTGTCTCATGCCTTTACTTCTCTAACCATTGCTAGCAGAATGCCAGATCTCTGATACAGAGGATTTCCAGATCTCTCTGTCACTTCTTCTGTGTTATCTCACTTCTCAAAGTATATAAATTCAAAGCTTCTTGCAAATAGTTCTGCCTGCAACAGCAGATTACTAATACATCCATGATATGAGAGGAATGTGATCATTTACTTAGTTGTTAATAGCATCTTGCCTCCTAGGATCTTAAAGTGCTTTTAAAACTATAGTCAAACTCTGAATCTCCTTGTTACTTTTATTCAAATATAGGGAAAACTGAGGCTCTGTGGATGGAATTTGGCTCTGTTGAGAGATGCTGCAGTAGTTGGTCGGGTGCCTGTGGTCTTAGTTCATGACAAACGCAGAGCACCTGCAGATCTAGTTAATTGTTGGAAGAGACCTGGTTTCTGAGCAACACTGGAAAATGGTGTTTAAGTGTCCAAATATGTCCAATGCCTAAGACCAAAAACGTTGGCTGGGATGACATCCCCATCCTGTCATAGTGAATCCACAGTGAGCCAAGACTGGAACCCACAGCAATGCTGTTTTGTGGGATTCGTACAAGGTATTCCCTCCTTCACCCTAGCTTGCAGTCTTGAAGTGGTCCCTTTCCTTATGCAGGGCCAGAACTTCTCAGGTCAAGGGCAGACCAAGGAGCCTAGCCATGGTTGCTTCTTAATCTTTTAAATGCCAGATCCATGCCCACTGCCTGGTGTGGTTTGCCTCCAGACAGCAGCTGACAGGTCACACCTTCTCTGATCCTCCCTGAGATTTGGGAGCCACAGTGGAGTCCTGACTCTTGCCCTGGTAAATCTGCTCCATTAATAGCTATCAAAGAGCCTGAAGTTTCCATCCGAACTTTATCTGGCTTTGCAGCAAGCTGGAGGATTAAAGACCGTCACAGAGGAAGGGAGGGAGCAGCCGTGGCTCACCCGGAATAGCCTGACCTATGACGGCACGTACCAGCCTGGGGAGGGGAGCTGCCCCGTGAGCTCATGGGTTATTAGCAGTGAGGAGAGACATGCCTGCAGTCAGCAGCACACCCAGGGCCATCTGCTCCATCCCTGGCTAGTTTTAGGGGGTCCAGAGGGATTTGTTAGTACAGTTTGCCTGTACTGTTCTTTGGTGGGAGAGGTGGGAGCAGGCTTGAGGTGCCTTGTGCAGCCATCAATTTATGCTGCTCAGACAACTTTAGGATTTGACCTCTGGGCTGTTTGTATGGAGCAGATCTGTTTTTGAGGGAGAGTGGTATGAGAAGGTAACACCTGCCCTGCTGCAGCCCCCCGGGGCTGTGTCTCTGCTGTGTCATAGCAAATATTAAAGGGATCAGAGTGGGCTGTATGGCTGGGACTTGCCTATAGGGCCAGCAGGCCTGGGGCACAAGCCTTCAGCTACCAGCTGGAGGAAGAGTGTAGGAAGCAAGAACAGGTTTTTTGGTGTAGCCAGGGATTCACTTCTCGCACCCTTTCTTGTAACTGGTTTTGTTTTCCTTGCCTTGTTCCTCTGCTGGCATTCCCGAGTCCTCTATTTCACTCGCCCCATGTCACTACTGTATAAAAATGTGGGGTTTCTTGTTACTCCCCCCCCTCCCTGCTTCAGCTCAGCATTGCTGGTGCAGGAGGAGCTTTTCCTTAAAGATAGGCTGTGAGTTAGAGCCCTTTCCAGTGCCCAGCATTTTGTGGGACTTGTGCAGAGCACCTCAGCATAGTGGCACAAGATCTCCCCAGCTGGCCGGATGACCCCAGGCTCCGTGTGCTCATCCCCAGGGGAGCAGTGGCACTGCAGATCAACTTCTCGGACATGTGGGAAGCAGGCACGTGGCCACCACAATGAACAATCTGTGGGTGCTGCTCAATGTTTTACACCAGGAAGCGCTGAGGCTGTTCTAAACCTTTGACCCCAGCGACATACTCCAAATTCCTCCCAGTCAAATGGTCTCCTTCCCTCCCCTCCAGGCCTGAAAGCATTGATCTCCTGACTAGCCAGACAGATTCATTGCCCCATAAAAAGCTCCTTTGTATCGCCAACAGTTCTATTGATCTGCACTTTGGGAAGATCATTCTGCTTTGGAATTTGCAGATTGCATACTTATCGTTATCCATGATGGGAAGCTACTGGCATTGTGGCTCTTTGGACATCTAGGAAATCACCCAGCGGGTGGGAAATCCATGCTCCATAGGTCTGGTAGCCTAGGGGAGTACAGCTGAACACAGGCCCTTTGAGTCCTTTCTAGAAGAGGTTCACCATACCACCTGATGAGAAAGATGAGGCCATACTGAATCCTTCTCTCCTGCTGGTATGGCAGAGAAATGTGTGTCCGAAACAGCATTGCTGTGGCATGTGCTCCCTTTCACTGGAGCAGATAAGCAAAGGAGGCACCAGTGGCTGGGGTGCAGGACTCTGCCTGTCCAACCAATGTTGCTGCTTCTGCTGTCCAACAAGCTCCTCTGTGCCAAGGATCTGAGAGGAAGAAGAGAATATTTGGGCTCTCTGTGTCCTGCTGCATAGACAGGTTTACCAAGCATGTTAGGTACTTGTAGCTGCAGTGTTTGCCACTGTCACTTGGAAGTTGTGCTTCTAACTCTCTGGAGGTTTTTGGCTCAGCTCTTGGTTACAAAGAGGGCAGTTTTCATCTGTACTTGTCCTTTTCCCCTGCCTTTGCTGACACTTGAATACCTCAGTGATTCCTGGAAGTGAAGAGAGGCTGTTGAACAGAGGGAGAATGAAAAACAGTGATTCCCTCCTAGACATTCAGTCCCAGCCTAAATAAGGGGACTTATGAGCCGGGTGCTGAATGACTGCACTGGTTTATCGTGTCTAGTGCTAGAGTCGGTTATTGTGGTCAGGGGTGAGCTGGGAATGTATGTGCTTATATCAGGGAGAAGGGAACTGAGATTAGCCAAACAGACATAACACACATGGGCTCTACCTTGGCTATGTAAAAATCTGGAAGTGGGCCAGTAGGTGCGTTGGCAGTTGGACTAGATGATGATCGTAGGTCCCTTCCAACTGAAAATATTCTATTCTACATCCTGTTGCGTGGACCTTCTCAATGCCGTTTTGGGGACCAAACATGAAAGTCTGATCTCTGCCCTGCAGGGGAAAAACCCTCTTGACATTCTCTGAGAAGATCTGTGGGTAGCAAAGGGAGCTGGAGGAAGCTAGTTTGGGTGTCCTGGCTACCTGACAGTCCCTCAGAGCGGCTGGGCTGGAGATGCTTACTAGTGGCCTTCATGTAGACCTGATGGCAGTAACATGCACCTGCTTTTCCATCTTGACCCCCTTGTCTCCAAGAGGGGCTGAACATGGTGGCTGAGACCTGTGGCTAAAGGACTGCTGTGCTCAGCAGAGCAAGAGAGACTTCAGCTTTCCAGTGCTTTCTACCTCTTGGGCAGTCATGCTCTTGCCAGCCAGGGCTCCCTTGCTTTTCAAGGTGTTCCCTCAGCACCCTTTCTAGCCCACCTCTGGCTCCCCAGAACCTCCTATGACAGGACTGGATGGGCTTTTCTCTGTTTTTACTTGCCCTGCGAGACAAGGCGCTTTTTTTTTTTTTTAATTATTATTATTATTTTTATTTTTGGCACAGTCAGGTTTTATTTTCAGTTAACACAGATGTTGTAATTGAGCTTAACCAGCTATTGTTTACATCCTCCTCTCCCTGCTGCTGGAGTTGCTTGGGGAATGACAAATAACTGCTGCCCTCCTCCACAGCTGATGTTTGCCCAGCCCTCTTGCCATGGGCATACCTTCCTGCCCAGAAAATGAAGTGCTTTGTTCAAAGCCTGGGAGGGATCTACTTAGCTGCATGGAGAGACCATTAAGAGAGAAGTGTGATAAGGGAAGTAGCCTGATAAGGATTTTTTGTTTTTTTATACAGGCTGTGGGGAGCTGTGCTGTGCAGGGAGGCAGTGAGAGGAACAGGGCTGGCTGCTGACACTCTCAGACGTGACACTTAGACTGAGCGTCATGTAGATTCATGGTGTAAGGTGCCCAGTTGCTCTTAACAGCCAGCTCCTGCCAAGCATGTGCATAGTGGGAAAAGGTGGAAAGAAGGTGGGACTTTGTCACCTTCTCTCTCTAAGGAGGTCTCTGCATGGCTTTCTGTGTTTGAGGACAGCCCAGCTGTGCTGGGAGCAAAAAAAAAAAAACCCACCCTGCGTGGACCAGAGACTAGTGTTAAATAAGTGTAACCACACAACACAAGGCATATTAGGGACATGGTTTGTTTCTTGCTGGTCCAGGAGATAAACAACTGGGTTGCTCTTGCCTTGTCTGCAAAAAGCATTAGACCAGTGAAGAACAAACCTCAGTCATGCTCTTCAGTACAGCAAAGCATGAGAGGTCTGAGTTCATCCTGATTCGTCTCTAAGTCCTTTTCCAAACTTTGACTGTGTGGAGAAATATTCCAGAAATCATAAGTGCAAGAATAAGGGAGACTTTGACTTTTCTTCTTTCAGCCTCATAAGCAAAAACTTGCAACTGTTTCTTTGTCTCTGCTTCGGTGTATCTGTGTTTGAAGTCTCCTATCTTTCTCCTCTCTTTCACAGGTCCTTCAGAAGCTTGGGAAAGCAGATGAAACAAAAGATGAGCAGTTTGAACAATGTGTGCAGAACTTCAATAAACAGCTGGTAAGATAATTGGTGATATGTAATTACAGTCTGGGTTTCAGTATTAGCTTCCAGTCATCTGCTGCAATATGCAATTAAAGCCCATTAAATTAAACGATGCCATAGGCCCACTGAAGTGACCCACAACTCGTAGCTGTTCACTTATGAGAAATTATTACACTGTGCCTTCCAGTGTCCTTGATAGTGACAGTAAGTGTGTGTGCTGAAAAATAATACTTGTTCTAGACCCAAGCTTAGGAAATGAAATAGCTTGACCCAAACACTTCCTTCAGTTAGCAGCTGCTTTGTAATGTATTTTTTCCTGCTGGGCTGGAAGCAGAGACATAAGAGCAACATTGTGTCCCTGAAAGATGGATAGGATAGGAAATGGATTAGAAATCAAAACCAAAATGGAACAAGGCAGATTCACTTTCCCTAAATGCAGCAGAGGTCAAAAGAGACTAAGAACGCAAATGGTGAAAAGAGAACATCCTTCCACGACTAAGATGTAATTCTAACTTCTTCCCTATCCTTGCACAATCACTGTTTCGGGCCTGAGTTGTCATTCTTTTGTGTGTTGACTTCATCCCTATATTTTAGTGCACAAAAATATTTTAACAGTGTAGCAATTTTTCCCCCACCCTTCCTGCTTAAGCACCAGTCAGTTTATATCTTGAACTGGGTGTGTGTGCTGGGGTTTTTGGGGGGTTTTGAGGGGTTGGGGTTTTTGTTTGTTTGTTTTTATCTGAAACTTTTGGCCACGCAGAGGAGGAGAAATCAGTTACCCCAGGAGATCTTGGTGTTAAGGAAAGTGTTGTTTCTGTTTTGTGGCAGGAAATGCATGCCACACCAAAGCTCAGGTGGTGCTTAAGAAATCTTTCAGCCCCTTTGCCCTGACATATTTAGGACCTTTTTTTTTTTCTGGAGCTGTTAGCAGCAGCTGCATTGTGTTTGTCAAGACTCAGCAGATGTGGTTATGTGTTGCAAAACCAGCTGAGGAGGGATTTGCCACAGCTGAATATAATGAAAATCTTTTAGTCTGACTTTGGCTTATGTCTAACCGGAGCTGACTGCAAATTCCTGGAGACTAATGCTCATTCTTTTGGCAGCAATAGTAACTGTTGCTCCAGAAATTCCTGCAACATCTCTGTAGCATGTCCACCAGTAGTGGTATTCTCTTGTACACAGAGGAATACAGTTGGCTTTTTTTTCTGATGACATGACATTACCAGGTGTAACTTTTCCGTATCGTTTTTGAGTATCGGCAGTCAGGAAACAGCATTTTTAAAGGAGAAATACTGAAAAACTCAAATCCAAACTTCTTGATCTGGCTGTTTGGGATGGCTTTTCAGTTTCCAAAGCCACGAGTTCCAGTCATGCACTGAGCAGCTTGTTAAAGCAGCACTGCCTCTGTACCCCTTACAGCTAAATTTCTTTTCCCATCTTCCAGGGGCAGGCCATGAACTAAATTCTCCAAATAATTTATCAAAGGAGCTGGAGGCTGCACTGTGTTTGCTGCTTGGGGTCGGTTGGTTTTGCTTTGGCCCTGTGGTGGTTTGACCCTGGCTGGACACCAGGGGCCTGCCAAAGCCGCTCTATCACTCCCCTCTTTAACTGGACAGAGGAGAGAAAAGTAAGTCAAAGGGCTTGTGGGTCGAGATAAGGACAGGGAGAGATCATTTATCAGTTACCATCACGGGCAAAACAGACTCAACCTGATAAAATTAATTTAATTTATTATCAACCAACATCAGAGAAGGAGAGGATAAAAATTGCTAAATCTTACAACACCTTCCCCCCCACCCCTCCCTTCTTCCTGGACTCAACTGCACTCTCAGTTTCTCTACCTACTCCCCCACCCAGCGGTGCAGGGGGGAATGAGGGTTGGGGTCAGTTCATCATGTTTTCTCTGCCGCTGCTTCTTCCTAGGGGAGGACTCTTCCCCTGCTCATGCGTGGGGTCCCTCTCATGGGAGACAGTCCTCCACGAACTTCTCCAACGTGAGTCCTTCCCACGGGCTACAGTTCTTCATGAACTGCTCCAGCATGGGCCCATAATTTCCACAGGGTGCAGTCCCTCAGGAGCAGACTGCTCCAGCGTTGGGTCCCCTGTGGGGTCATAAGTTCTGCCAGCAAACCTGCTTCGGCATGGGCTCCTCCCCCCACGGGTCTTGCCAGGAACCTGATCTGGCGCAGACTTCCCACGGGGTCACAGCCTCCTTCCTTTGGGCATCCACCCACTCCGGTGTGGGGTCCTCCATGGGCTACAGGTGGAGATCTGCTTCACTATGGACCTCCATGGACTGCAGGGGGACAGCCTGCCTCACCATGGTCTTTACTGTGGGCTGCAAGGGAATCTCTGCTCTGGCGCCTGGAGCACCTCCTCCCCCTCCTTCTTCACTGACCTTGGTGTCTGCAGGGCTGTTTTCTCTCGCATCCTTCTCACTTCTCTTCTCTCTCCAGCTACTGAGCCACAGCCGTGTTTTTTTCCTTCTTAAATATATTATCACAGAGGCGCTTCCACCGTCACTGATTGGCTTGGTCTTGGCCAGCAGCAGACACAGGGAAAACTTCTAGCAGCTTCTCACAGAAGACCTTGCCACATAAACCCAATACAGGCCCTCAGATTCCCTATTGCTGAAATAAATGCAAACAATGCCTGTTTTACAGGGCAAACCATAAATGTGAGTTAGCTGGATTGTTAGGATATCCAGGGCTGGGGAGTTACGATGCCAAGCAGGCTGGGGGAAAAAAACTTCAAGTATTTGTGCATATATACATACTTGTCTTTATTTTTAGATGTATGATTTGTGTGTGTAGTGTAGCTATGTGTGAGATTTCTGTGGCCTTTCCTTACAAAGTCTGCTCCAGTGGGAAATGTAAGTCTGGAGGAAAGCTGATCTTTTCCTGCAGGCTTGTGGCAGAACAGCTCTCCTGTGGAACTGGCTGGGGTGTGATGAGGCAGTGGCCTTGTTTGCTACTTGGTTAGAGGTTCCTCTGACTCTAATGACTGTGTTGAGCCACTTTGACACGTGTTGCCAGATGTGGGCTGTCGATGAATGGAGAGCAGGTCTAAAAATCACTTATTCCTTTTCAACCAAGGTGTCTTGTGGTTCTCTCAGATGGTGGTTGAGTGGACATAAGGGAAAGCATTGCACTTCCCAGCTCTCTGTCCATTCAGGTTCATATAAGAGCACCACCCTGAGTCTCTGAATGGTAGGAAACGTTTAGCTCAGACAGATGGATTTGCTGCGTGACAAATGAGCTGGATATAACCATGCTGCTGCAGGGCTCACCTGTGTCTCTTGAATGCTTGACAAGCAGCACAACTGGCCCCCCATATTACTCCCTCATGACAGATTATCTTTGGCAATTAACCTCCCCAAAAGTTCATTTGAATGCTTCCCCCTCCTTCCCTTTCCCAGTGTCACTGGTGTTCAGGCACTGGCACAAGGATCTGTCCTGGAAATTGTCCTCGCAGACCTGGGAGCAAGAGGCCTGCTGCAAAGGTGCAATACAGCCCCTGCCCAAGGTGTGCCAGGCTTTGGCTTCTCTTTGCCTGCATTTGAAATACTGGCTGGAGAGACTGAGGGTGGGAGGCTGGTGGCAGCCCTTACACCTGGCACCACGTTGTGTTTCTGCCTGGCAGAGCAGCTGGGTTTCGATATCCTTCCTGAGCTGTCACTCGTGTGGAAGTTCTGGGTTGGTTTACAGCGTTTCACACCAAACGCATGAGAGACAAGCTGCTGCTGGCACGGGCTGCATCCATCTCTGCCCATACCCTGCAGCGTTCAGCACAGCCTCAGCCTGCAGGGCAGGCAGCGTGGAGCTAATCTTTGCTCTTGCAGCATGGGTTTGGCTGTGGACCGTTATAGTCAGTAGCTTGGAGAGAGAGAGACTTTCTGCCCAGGCAAGAACGCTTCACACCCAGTAGTTTCCATTTCAGCCTGTTGTAGCAAAACAAGCTTTACAGCTTGCCTGGTACCCAAGTTGGCAGTTTTCTTGCCAGTTATTCATGCTTTGTGTCTTAACAGCTCTGAAGTTTTGCTGAATGGGGGCTTATCTGGAGCTGTTGTTTCAATACTCTTCCCCCCTTTATAATTCCATAGTCTGCCCTTCCAGCCCTATATTAATCTAATCTGGAACAGGACACTACCTGTCCCTCTCAGGTGCTGATAATAAAAATCTTTCCTATCAGAACTGCAAAACCAGGGTGGCTACATAAAGAAGGGGTCACACTCTAATATTAGGTTGAAAGAATTTCTTTTGAAGACTGGGGAAAAACAGGTTTTAGGAAACCTGTCTACTACTAAGAAACAGTTCTATGGAAAATCATACACTTAGCTAGTGCTCAGTGAAAGGTATTGTAAATAACCCCTCAACAAAAGAAGAAAGCACAAAAGGAAAGCAAACCGCTCCTGCGTTTTAATTTAACAGAGCTATAAGTAATAGGTGGTTCATTAGGTCTTTGGAGAGAGAGCTCGTCCAGTCTCCCAAGCATAGCACTTCTATTTTTAAATATGCATCTTCCTGTACATACTGCCCTTCGTATTATACCTGGTTGTGTTATAGGCTCACAGGGTTGAATTACGCCATGACTGTGAGTGTGGCAAAATGAGCTCAAACAAGATGATGCTTGCATGTCTGAGGAGAACAACTTATTGTGGTCACTTCTGCATCGAGACACAGTGTCATTGTCCCTGTGTGAAGGTGTTAAGTCAGTTTGTTAGCACAGGGATGAGAAATGAATATGGGGTTCAGGATCGGCATTGATCTTCAATTTTTGGTTTAGTTTTGCTTTCCTTTTGTTGAGTTTTGTTACTCTGATATTTTTTTTTACGTTCTTGCAATTTAAAATTTAACATGCTATTAGATTTTTGAACATCTTTAGATTCAACCATACATCTATAAATTCCTTCTGCACACCCTTAAACCTACTGCTCTTCAATAACTGGGAAGTGGATTAATTTTCCAGATTCTAGAACTCTCTTCCCTACTTTTTTTTTACCTTGTAAGTTTAGGAAGCATCTTTAAATGTGCACTCAAGGATGTTGAAAGCCTCTGTTCTATACAGTATTTGACAGTGTCTAACTGCGTTGCTAGAGGTGTTTATGCAGAATCGTGCCTGTGCTTGATGGCTTGCTATAGAAAGCAGGTGCACATGCACAGAGAGAAGGCAGTTGCCAAAGTTTCTTGGGAAGTATTAATGCTTAAAATAATAAAAATGCTTAAAAAATAAAAATAAACCTTTGAAGCAAGTGAGGGAGCTGCTTTAATGGTGGACAAGAAATAAAGCAATGGAAAAGCCAAAGAGGGACTTGGATGGGAACTCCAGGTGCCCAGGGTAGCTGGAGAAACAGGATTCATGGCAAAACTCTGAACACGGGCCTCTCTCTGAAAATCTTTCTGCCTATGGATCTCACAGGCTGCAAAGTCTGTTCATTCTCCCTGGCTGGCTTGGTACTTTTAAGAGGCTTAGGTAACCCCCGTAGTCATGGAGATCAGCTGTAACTCTGACTTTAAGCATCAGCAAAGGCGTGACTAAGAAAGACCACTCCAGCTGCAGGATGCAGCACTGCATGTTGGCCAACTGCACGTCGTGGTGAGACAAGTGGTGCTGAGGATGCCTGAAGAACGCAGAAGGCTAGTTGCACATTGCTGCAACTGCACACTTCACTATTTGGGCCCTGACTTGCAGGTTTTTCAGGGGGTCTATCTAAAAATCTTGATGCTTAATTGAGATGCTGGTGTACCTCTTGGAGGATCCTTTTGTCCTTGTGACTTTGGGACTGGGTATCAAGCCTTGAAGAGTTCACAAGTCTGGATTCTGTCGTGTGGTGCTTTGGCAGGACTCGGGCAAGTATGGGCACAATTTTAGAGGTGGTTTCTGCTTTTTACATGCTATAATTTTGAGAGTTACAGTTCTAGAGACTGCAGTGCCCAAGTGTGTGGTGGGCAAATTCTGCAGAGGACCATCCCTGCTGATTAGTTTCTGATAACCTCAAAGTTGTGTGTTTAGTAATTTTTAAAAATGATATAGCTGCAGGATGATAATGTATCCATCTGAGGGATTTTGCATGATAATTTCTTCTACGCTGTTTCCTCTTGTGTTCTGACATCTGATCTTGCCAGTTCCAGCCTGTGATTTCTAGCATGGACCAATTCTAGGCAGACACCACTGCTTTCCTCTAAGCCTTTCTTGCGTCGGGCACAAGCAAACGTATTACAGCTTGATTGAACTGCTGCTTGTCAGCTCAGCCTCCTTGATGGTGCTCTGTGCGTGTGCTCTTTTTTGATTACTCTGGCACCTCTTCCCTGGTGGTTCTGATTGCACTGCTAGGAAGGTCTCATCTGCCCAGGTTTTCCACATTCGCCATAAGCCAGCAAAAAGCTCTACATTTGTTTGCTCTGTGTTTTAAGAACTCCTAGGACTTTTGCAGCAGATGTGGTCATTATTCCTTTCCTCTTGTACTCTCTTTGGATCAGTTCCCAATGCTTCTTCAGACTAGGAGTCTGACTTTTGTAAAAGTGGTCAGCTCTTTCCCATCCCTCGTTTCCTTTGATGGCAGAAGAAAGAGCAAATGTGAACTCCTCCAGAACTTTCGAGGCAAGGAAAACAAATAGGGCCATAATGTTAGAAGCAGATGGATTTCTCCACAAAGCTATGCTAGCACTGCCACTTTGACAGCTGGGCAGATTTAGCCTCTGTTTAGAGAGCACAGCTGCACTGAGAGCACAAGGGATCACAGCATGAGCTCAGTTGAGGCAAGAGATGCCTGAGTGGTGGGGAGGGCTGATGCGAAACATCTGCTTTTGAAGCAAGTAGCTCTGAGGCAGCTGTCAGAGATGTCCTGTGAGCTCCCCGTCTCTGGGGTTGTCTTCAGATGTCTACATTCATTATGCTGGGGGCCCCTCAGTGGGACACAAACTGGGAAAGAAGAGGAGGAATGGCAGCAGGCTGTGAGGAAGGTGTGAGGTATAGTTGTTGCTTTCCTGCATCCTTGTTTTTACAGCTACTTTGGGGGATAGTGAAGATCCAGTGAGATCCCACAGGGTGAGGGAAACTCTCTTATAACAGAGATCTTTGCCTCTCAAACTTTTTCTGTACTTCTTGCATACTCCAGAGGTTGTCTGCCCAGGTATCCTCAATGTTTGCTCCTTCCTTTGCTTTGATGTGCTCTGTGATGGTGTGGTTAACTTCTCAAGCCTTGCTCTTCCTTCTGTTTCTATCATGTCACTGTCTGGATTTGACAGTATTTCCCCGTTTGCTTTGCACCACTGTTAATGACACAGGGCAAGGTGGAGGTGAGGTGGGCCTGCAAATATGCTTATCTTAGTGCAAGAGAGCAGTTGTATGGGGAGCGCATGTACGTGTGCATGCCTGAACCAACTTTGCTGTAAAAATCTCCATGACCCTTTCCAATGTGGGTTCTTGTACTACACTCAGTTGTGTCATCTGAAAGCTCATCTGGCAAAATTCAGCCCAGCTTCTGGTTTTAATCCTTTCTTTCTTAGTGAGTGAGATCTGCTGCTGGCAGGCCATCTCCACAGTGAAGCTAAAGAAAAAGATTGCTAACTCTGTATTTGCAAGCCCTGCTGCACAGGGCAATTTAGACAGGATGTTTGGGCAGGTCAGACGTCCCTTGTACTGACTTTGCATTTGGGTTTTGGTTTGCAGTGTGGCAGGAAAAGCTGGTGAGCTAAACTGCTCCCAAACCAGCACAAAAAAAATCAATTGCATCTATCGTATATCCTACAGGCACCCTTCAGTACATTTGTTGCATAGACCCACTAGCCCTTTGCTTATAAACTAATTGTTGCCCTTAGGACCCTCTCTAGTTGCTTGTATGAAATCAGACCACTAAAGCTGGCTCTGCTGCGAAGAGCAAATCACAGCTTTCCCCACATCAAGTTACCCGGTACCTTGGTGGTATTGTTGGCCAAACATGCCTGCAAGTCACTGGTTGTGGGCTTACCAAGTCAGAGGGCTGTGTGGTCTCCCTGTTAATATTTAAGTTTCATGTGGTCACAGGGCTGATGTGTAGCCCATCTGCAAGACCATTTTTCTTTATTTAGAAATGCTTGACTCCTCCTTCTTACCCTTTCTTTATATGAGAGAATAACTGATGGTCGTCTTATGTTCACAGTCTGAAGGCACGAGGCTGCAGAAGGACCTCCGAACTTACTTGGCTTCCGTAAAAGGTAAGGTCTGCATAAGCAGAGGATTATTTCCTCTCTAGTGCTTACCTATGTAGTGAGGTTTCTGCGGCTATCCCCTTCCTGGTGTTTCCTCAGGTGTGAGTTGTAGGAAAGGTCAGCCTTGTCTGGGTGGGGGATCTTTCGGAATCCTTCAGGACTAGGTGGGATGAAATGGGGTTGTGCTTTGATGCCAAACAAGTGGTGCTGCCTTAGCAGATAGACTTTCGTATCTTCTGCTAGGGGAGGACAAACACAAAGGGTTTGATGCGACTGCATCCTTGGTTCCTTTCTTCCTGTGGTTACCTTCCATCTCTATGTTGTCAAGGGTCAGACATTCTGTAAGGAAGAGCTTAGCATTTTTTATAACTTTCCTGTGTCCCCGTTCCTCAGGATGAGTGTTAAACTGTGAGGAACATTCCTTCTTTCTGAAGCAGTTCCTTCTTTCCTAGCCATGCACGAGGCCTCCAAGAAGCTGACAGAGTGTTTGCAGGAAGTTTATGAGCCGGATTGGCCTGGGAGAGATGACACAAATAAAATAGCAGAGGTAAGACTGTCCAGGATGTGGGGTTACCAGGCTTGGTCTGTCAGCGGAGCTGAGCTTTGGAAGCTGTGTGTGTGCCGTGTTTCTTCAGGCGTATGACTTCGCAGAAGAATTGGGGAGACAAACTCAGCATTGGGAACAAGGGAAAGCTGAAAGGATGTGGCCTGTATTTCGTCTGTGTAGGACTCTGACCCCAGATGCTTGAATGCTACGCAGAGCTGTATGCTTATGCCCACAAGCAATTTGTTCCCCCTAACAGTGGGGGACAGAGGATGCCAAAAGAGTCAGTAGGGTCAACTGGATATATTGCTTACACTCTGTGCAAGAGAAAGGGGAGGTTAAACCTATGGCCAAAGCATGGTCAGAGCAGCCATTGTGTAGCTGCAACAACCTTCCACTCACAGCAGTACCACCAGCTGCCATATTTTGGTTGCCACCTTCTTTGGCTGAGCCATGTGTCACCCCAACCTGCTGCTCTTCTAATCCCTTGGTGAGGTGGTGCCTTGCCCAGGTGTTTTCTGTGGAGCTCGGGGAGCAGCCTGTTGTTTGACAGCTTGGATCCCCCTTGGCATCTGTGTGCAGTGGGTCCAGCTGGAGGCAGGTGCCCTCTGCTCTCTTCCTCAGCTGTTCTGCTGAGCAGCAGCTGTGGCAGTTCAGCTCTGTGGATCCATCTGCCATGAGGCTGCAGGACTGGGCTTATCTGCAGCTGTCTATGACATTGGAATAGTGGGTGGGGAAGGAAGAGAGAGGAGAGCAGGAGAGAGATTCTTCCCTTCCTCTGCTTTCCCCTGCAGAAAATTTCACCTGAAATAACATCTGCATCTTGCCTAGGAAGTACTGACTTCAAAGCAGATAAATCAAGCCAAACCTGAACATTTCCAGGTCAATTTTTGCATTAACGTGGAAACATCTCATTGGGAAGTGCTGTTGCAGTAAATAATGGAATTGTAATTCCACAGTTTTGGCTTCACGTTCTCTGGCCTTGTGTTTTCCTGGGCCACCACTGTGGTGTCTCCTGTGCAACTGTCCCTTCAGAGAATTTGAGCCAGAGAGGTCAAAAGGAGCATGAGTCCTGAGAACGAACTGCAGAACTGCTACTCTGAGGATCTGCAGGAATATTTCCAGCCCTCCACCTCCCCCTTTACTGCCTTTGTTTATATTTCTTTCTTTCAGAAAAAGGCAGGCGGGAGAAAAGTGCTATTTATTCTTGCCAAAAAAATAATAAATTCCCACATAAAGAGGGCATTTTTCCTGAATATTTTAGCAAAACCATTTGTTCAAGTGGAAAAACAGGAGAGGAGCAATTTCTACCTAATCAAAGGTGTCGATGGGAAGTTACTGGGCCTGACATAAGATCAAGGATAAAACAGGCACAGGTTAGGGTGCAAGCCTTGGATGTGACCTCCATTGGGCTGTGGAAGCAGGTGGTGCGAGGGCTGAAGACTGCTAGAATAGCTTTCTGTTATTGTTCATATTGTCCAGAAAGCTGTGCTGTAATGAAAAGTAGAAAATGGTGCCTAGTAGTGTCAGGTGTCTCATTTTTGTGGATGCTGGGAGGAGGAGGTAAAGCCAGCTTGACAGTCTTCTCTTTCATTGTACGGACTTGGGCTAGCACTGTGGGGGGGAAAAGGCGGGCTCTCAAAGGAAGGCTCATGAAGGGTGCTGTGTACTTGGAGAGGTCATCTAAATTAGCAGCATCAGGCTTTCTTTTCTGTTTCTATATTTCTGGCACGGCCTCTGTTTTCAAATAATTTCCCTGCTCCTAAGTTTTTCCACAGAAATTACTATTTCTTAAGAGCTCTGGGGGGCTGAACTTGTTGACTGTAGCACTCATGGAGAAAAACAGAAATGCAGAGCTCTGTTCTTGAATAGTTAGCTTGTTACTTTTGTTTTTCAGAACAACGATCTCCTCTGGACGGACTTCCATCAGAAGCTGGTGGATCAGGCACTTCTGACCATGGATACATACCTTGGCCAGTTTCCAGATATTAAAGTAAGATTCTCTTTAAATCTTTTGATCTAGAGAGTCACAGCAGATGAAACCTCAGAAGAATCAATTTCTTGCATCCCCATCTTCTTTAGGAGGATGTGTGCGCTGTGCTGCTGCAAGCTCTCCTTTTAGAGCAGCCAAAATCATTGCAGCTCTGGGTCATATGAAAATGTTATGTTCTCTTTTGGGCTTGAAATGAGAGTAAAGAATCCAGGGGAAAGATACTGAAGAGAAAACACAAGTGTGAAACAGGAGGATCCATAAAATTTCCTATTGTATCAGAGGACAGTGTCAGCAATAACTCATTAACTCACAAGCTCTCAGTCTTTCTTTTCAGTCCTTTGGTTTTAACTTCCTTCTAAGTAGAAAGCATTGAGGAAATGAGTGGCAAATGTGCTTTATAGGTAGCGGCTGGTATGGAAGGCAGATTTCTCTGTGTTCCCTGAAGTCCTGCTGTGCATATAACCAGCTTTTTACAGAGAAGGGGGAGTGCTGGATAGGTCTTTTTGGGGGGGAGATCGTATCTGAGGACCTGGGTTTGAATGATGTCCTCTCCCTTCCCCCATAGTTATCTCCTCTCTGTTCGTTTTGAGAAGGTTATGCAGGAAATGTCTATAGCATATGGAAGTGCTAGTAATGATATCACCATATGGGAATTATCAGCTTGGCTTCTTCCCAGTGAAAACAACCCTTTCCCCACCACATGTCTTTTAAAACGTTTGTCAATATTTGTTGCTTCAGGAGGATCGTGCTGTATCAAAGCGGGGGGCAGGTCACAGGCTTGTAGAATGAGCCCTGAACAACAGTGCCCTTGCCTCCTAGGGCTCCTCGGTTTTGCTTAATTTTTCCAGCCTCTTCTGTCCCTGGAATTCTGAAGTGGGGAAGCATGAAGAGGCTTGCTGTTGCTTTCCACCCGCTCAAGGCTGTAGAGCTGATCACTCCCTGTAGCGCGATGCCATGTGCCTCAGCAGTGTAGAGGCTCGTGCATTGCTTCCTGAGCAGAAGGTTTTATTTCAGGCTCGCTGTAGACTCAGACTTCTGCAGTGCTTCAGTCCAAACCACATTTTACCAGCCCTGTCAGCTGTGTACTGGGTCACCTTGGAGTATCGCATTTCTTCCATGCTTAGTGTCTTTGGGATTTCTTAAATCTGCTGGGCTCCCGCCAAGGTTTTATGGTGGGATTTTAAAATGAGTGCAAGGTTGGAACCAACCAAATTCCACCAAAACTCAATGTGTTAGGCGCTAAGCTCCCATGGATCCTTTCTGTCTTCCAAATGGGCCACTAAAGTGCTTATTACTAATGTCCCTTTCTCAGTCTTCAGATGATGCTCTAGAAAATGGGAAGTTAAAGCAATTTTATGCACAATTTCAGTAATGCTTTAAAGAGAGCACTACTCGCCTCTGCTTCCCTTCCTAAAATGAGTGAGAATTTGGCTTTCTCTTGATTCCTGCAATAAGACAGGGATATATTTCAGAGTTGGCTATTTGTTTAAAATGGGCTTCCAGTGAATACAGAAAGATCAATGTGTTTTTATTGGTATTTCAGCTGGATGCATCATGCTTCTTACCCCTGAGCTGCGAGAAGTGCTCAAATGAAGTCTGGTTTCTTCAGTTGGTAGAAACTCTTGTTAAATACTGTTGTTGAAGGTCACTACAGGTGTACAAAAGTGTAGTTTCACTCCATGTAAGGAAGTAGAGTTCTTGAGGGTGGCAGGCAACCCCCCTCCCCCCCAGTCTTAGGTAATTTACAGAATATTTCAGTTGCGTTTGGTTGTTGTGGTAATAGTTTTCTGTTTTGTGTTTTCCACAAAAGCAAATTTTCTGCTTTTCCTGGATTTCTGGCATTACTGTGATAATGAAAGATGATTTATGGAGATAAGATGATTTTAATTTAGTTATGTGAAGGCCTGTTTTTTGTTAACAGCCCAGTAATTCAAATGTGTGATGAGTTAGATCATGCACGCATTATTTTTTTGTTAAATTCTAACATATTCTGAAATCTCCTTCACTTGAGGGGCTGGAAAAATTCCCTTGAATCTTTCGGACTTCCAACAGGATCCACAGCAGGCATGTGACACAGCATTCTTTTAGTAAGGAATTCTAATAAGTTAAAGGGAATAATTTTAAAATGTTGGGTGGGGAGGAGTGAACAAAGCCTCTCTATCTTCTCTAACTTGAAAAACGGGAATGCAAAAAGTACCTTATCCTTTCTTTGCAGGTCAGTATCTATAGCCATCTATAGCGTCTTGGAGTACAACTCTTGCATAATCTATAATATTTCTGAGTGAGTTTTTGGTGGTGGTTGCAGAGTATGTAATAAACGTACAGGTGTCTGCAGTGAGCCCAAAGAGAATAAACCATAACCCAAGTTCTGAATAGCTGTGGAATTGGCAATTTTCTGTCTTGCACCAAAATTGGTGCCCTGTTTCTACTAGGTTTAAAACCAAAGATCAGTAAGGGGGTTGGAAGAAAAGTGCTTTGTGGTTTGGGTGTTTTGGTTTGGGTTTTTTTTGTGTGGTGGTTTGTGTGGGTTTTTTTGTTGTGTGGTGGTGGTTGTTTTGTTTGTTTGTTTGTTTGTTTTAAAGGGGGCTTAAATTAAGATGGATTTATTGCAAAGCAGTAATCTGTTGGAGTTCAGCTTTTACCATCAGATAGTGGTGGGTAGCTGCAACTATCCTGGAGTCACACAAGGAAGCTACCCTGCAGCCTTCCAGGCTAAGTCCCATTGCTGCAATCGTTTGATCAGTGGTTACTCCAGGAGGACTCGCAGTGTATTTGCACCTTGCAGCATTTCCACGTACTCCAGTAGAAATGTGCAGGTGGGGGTTAGAAGGTTCGGGGCTGCAAAACAGGGTCGGAGTGACCTTGTGGAGAGATGGGTGGCATTGAATCAAACTCCCTGGTGGGGTGGCAGGGAGACGTAGAAGTGGCTGTTCACCATGTCACAGAGCTGGGCAAAACTCCAGCTATCTCTACCAGTCTGACCTGGGGGAAAATTCCTATTTCTTAAATCTGTAATCTGGCCTTGTGTTTTATTTGGTGTGTATAGAAAAATGCATTAAACTGGCATCTCGGAGATTGTTATGCTGCTGGAAGCCCCCATCGTGTCTCCATGCCCGGCTGGCAGTGTGATGTTGGGGAGGTGTCTTCTAGTGATCTCCACTGTGAGGTGGCTCAGCTGCTTCGTGATTCCTCTTGGAGTGAGCTAAGCGCTTTGAAATCAGTTTGGGTGTGTGTGTGGCTGAGATCCTGCAGATCCACTGTGACTCTCACAGAGCTGCACCAGCGTTTGCTGAAAGTGCAGAGGAGCATGTGTAGGAGATGTGCGAACTGGTCCCAGCTGGTCTGGCAGAAAGATCAGCCCTGAGAGTGGTTTTGCAGCTTATCTGCAGGAGCCTAGGGAGAGGAGACTGCACCTCCCTGCCAAGTGCAGTGGAAGGGGGGGCAGGATTTGCTTTTTTTAAAATAACTCTCAATGCTGATTCTTCATCTTGCACTTTCAATTTCCCTGGATGCTGGCGGTTAATTAGAAACCCTCCTGGCTCCTTGCCATGCCTTTTCACTCCAGTTCTCCAGCCTGTCTCTAGGCTGCTGCTTACTGACACTGAACTCCAAGCTGGAGTGGTGCTAGGATCAGGCTGGGAAGACCTGTGCTCCCACCCAGATAGTCTGGGGTGTTAGTAGAGAGTGTGGGGGTGAGGGTCTAAGGGGCATGGATGGTTCTTAATCCAATGAGTCTGAGCCTTGCCAAGGTGAATCTATGCCTGGGGACAGAGCCTGAGGCACCTCACATGAAGAGGGGAGGATCAGGGCACAGGCCTGACTGTGTCCATTCTGGATTCTCATCCATGGACCTGTCAGGACTCCATTCCCGAACATGAGTCTGGAACACAGTTGGCTCCCTCTTTGTGTTTGTTACGGCTTCAATATGTCTTCCCTATTAGTGACATCAGCCGCTTCTGTCTGGACCTCCTGTTGCAGGGTCCAAAATGCTGTCCTAGGTGTATCCTGAGCATATGGATGAATGCTTTTGCTGTGCTGGCAACAGAAATGCCTTCTTTTGTTGAATTTAATCTTTTGAGCTTCCACACGAACTAGGGCTACAAGCTGGTTAGAGTCTGGCTGCAGCCCTCAGGAGGCCCTGAAAATGATGAAGCAGGTGCCCATAGGATGCAGGCACATGGGGAGGCTTAGGAAGCACTAGAGCTACCGTTCTGAAAACATGAATGCCATCCAGAGGTGGGGCTTGTTGTTGGTTGGATCCCTTTGCTGGTTCTGCACTCCTCCTGAGGAGCTCCCTCTAGAACGGTGGTTGTCACAGGTGTTTCCCAGGACCACCTCTCTGGGCAGCCTGTGTGGAGTATCCAGTGAGTGTCCTGGTGTGGGCAGAGCATGGGGTGCTATGGAAGTTGGGTGAAGAGGAGGGGGATTTTCTTTGAGAGCCTTTGGGGTTTTGGCTGCTGGGGAAGATTGTCACAACTCTTTTCTCCATCTTTCTTAGTCACGTATAGCGAAGCGAGGAAGGAAGCTTGTGGATTACGACAGTGCCAGACACCATTTTGAAGCCCTGCAAACAGCGAAGAAGAAGGACGAAACTAAAATTGCAAAGGTAAAGCAAGCAGAATGAAGTGCAGCCATCCTTTCACTTCATGAAGTCTCCATTGACCTACTGAGCAGTTTTAAAGTGCACCTCTACCTCTTTATTGGGTGTGTTTTGTTCAGAGGTGTTGTGAACTAATAAAGTTTGGCTAGGTATTTCCTTCTTATTTGTTTAGTTCTAGAAAGCAGGATGGTGTCTGTGTTGGTTCAGACTTGCCATCATCAGTGAGCATCTCTCAGTGGCCAAGGCCTAGGCATGCATTTCCTTGGATGCTGCAAGACCAGTAACCTCTGTCAGGAAAGCCTGTGTGCCTCTGGGGGAAGCAAAGCCTTGCAGTGCCCTGGAAAAATGTGTGAATTTGTCTGCTTCTTGGGGCTCCGTCTCCCCATCTTATAACAGTGGTGAGAGTAAGTGTTTGAGTGTTGCTTGAGGTTGGTTGTGTTTGTGAAATCCTTTGATATTCTAAGACAGAGACCCTTAGGAGTGTGAATTACAAGTTCATTGGGGGCAATGCACCCTATGCACACTTGATGACTCTGTTCTGTTGTCTATTGGTCATAACTGCTGGACAATAAATATGGCTGAAAGCAGGAAAACAAGAGTTTTCTCTTGTCAGGGTGTGGTTTCTTTCATGCCTGTGAACAGCTTGATCTAGGGTTAACGCCAGAGCATGCCCAACATGCAAGTGTAGGGGTTTTTTAAAATTAAAATAGATGTCATTAAAAATAAAATTTAGTTTTTCTTTTCAATGTACCTGAAGAAAGGTGATAGTGTTAACCTTGTTCTAGAGGAGGTGCATGGTTCGAATGCCTGCCCAGAAAATAAGCTGTGGATTACTCCTGTACCCTGAGTGGATTTGAACCCACGTGCTCCACTCCACAGGACAGGTCTTGACGCAACAGAATAGTCCAGGACTGGGGAGACGTCTGTAATTCTCTTGAACGTGGGCCATGGCACATCAGGAGTCTTCAGGCTAGAAGCAGTGGAGGAAAGAGCCTGGATCTGTATCATTTAACCAGGCTGAGAAGAGTTGTCATTCTTTGCTTAGAGTTAGGGGGAAATACGGGCTATGTGAGAGATGCTAGTGTTTCTCCTGCATGGAAGAAATAAAGATGCGTCTCTCCCCCAAGTGGAAGATCTACCTTTAATGGCCAACCGACAGTACTTTCATTTTTAAGCTGCAAGACATCAGTCATCTGCTCACCCAGTGCATGCACTGTGATTAACCTTGACAGACAAAGGGGAAAGAGATTGATGGCTCAGGTGTCATTGCATCATTTGTGTGGGAAAGCAAGTCTTGGTTCTGTATGCAAGGCATGAGGCCCAGCTGGTTGTGCCTTCTGTTCAAAGAAGTATGTCACCGCTTTTGGGGGTAAGAGCAGAATTTCCCTGGGGTGTGGTATTATTATTGGTGTGTGCCTGTGGGATCTTTGCTGCAGTAGAAATGGGTTTTGTAGGAATTAATCTGCTTGGGTTGGTACCTGGTGATCTGCACCAAAGAGGCTGGTGTTTGTCATTGCTGCACTTGCTCGTGTTGCCCCAAATGCTCATGTAAGACACTATTAATGAGGGATTGTTCATTGCTCTTTTGTTAAAGTATGACATACAGTGCAGTATGAAGAGTGAAATGTTGAGATTTAGGAGGTGGTGCTCTGTTCCTGATTCAGCCTGTGCAAGTGTCTCTTAGTACTTGATCAGACTCTTCTTGTTAGCCAAAACATGCACTGGACCACATCTTTCCACCTCTGTGCTTTAGGCCATAAGCTTACGCACAGGATAATATGTGACACGTTGCACTGTCCTGATCCTGTAAAGATGGGAGCAGTGAGTCTCTGGAAGTTATGTACGTATGCTCTTCCCAAATGGGCAGGTTTCACAGCCCAGCCTGTGATCCCACACTTGCAGACATACAGCTCTGCAGGGCTGTGGGCAGCAGCCAGGCTCAGCGTGCACTAGGCTGATGTAGGAAGTTCACCTCCCCATTTTTCTGACTGCAGTTTTGCTTGTGTGACCTTTGAAGTAGGGTAGTTCTGATGTAAGGTACTTTGGAATATGATGACAGGCCCATAGGAAAGATAAATCTTGTTTGTGACACAGCATGCAGACGGGAACTGACTTGATTGATGTTTCATGGTATAGTAACACAAACAGCAACACAAATACTTTTTGGAGCTATATGGCCTTTTTTTTTTTTTTCTTCTCTAATATATGGATGTTCTTTTCCCACTCAGGACTCCTGCCACTTATTGCTAAACTCACAACCTGCCATTAAAATAAAGCACTGTGGACTTTCAGCTGTTGCATGCAAATAATTACGGCGGTTAATTAATCCTGTCCTCTCTTTAAGGAGCTCTCGCTTCACAGCCATGACTTGGAGCAGGGGTGTCTGTGTGCTAGGTCACTAACAACTATACCTGTTGCTCTTTGCAGCTGCCTGGCTGGTCTTCAGTATCCCAGCCCACACTGGAGCATTAATTACTGCTAAACTTGGCATGCTTCAAAGGATTCATAACTGATCGGTCCCAGGATGTTTGTTTTTTCTCTCGCCTTGGTGATACTGGTTTGGCCCAGCCTCTAAATACACTCTCTGTTGTGATTTTAATTTTTTTTACCCTAAAAGATATATGTTTGTGTCTCTCTTGTTCTCTGTTTATTTTTTTCTCTTTTTCACTCAAACATGCTCCCTCCCCCCAGCCTGTTTCGCTGCTTGAGAAAGCCGCGCCTCAGTGGTGTCAAGGGAAGCTACAAGCTCACCTCGTTGCGCAAACTAATCTGCTCCGAAATCAGGTGACTGCTGATCTACCTGGCTCTAACCCTGCATGCGCTATTTTGGGCTCTAGATTGTACCATGCAACTAATCTCTAGGCAACGTTCACTCTAGTCCCCTCTGTTAAGCGTGTCCTTGATACTCCTGAGCCACAGTGGACATGTGGAAGTTGCTGACCAATGAATGAATCTGTGCCTGCCCTATTAATTTCTAATCAGGTGTGTTAATATTGGACTATTGTTTTCTCCCCCTAAAAATGAAATGAGGATGAGGAAAGGCTACAGAATAACGCCAAGGCAGAAGGGTGATGTAGGGTAGTTCCTCCAATTATTCCTTTCTTTTTCTTCTAAGAGAAGCAGTCAAATTTTATTGTTGCTGTTTCAAAAAAGAAAGCAAGAAAAAAGAGGCTTCTGCATTTCTGATGTTGAGTAAAGCCAGAAAAAACCACATTGCTTCAAAAGCAATTTCTGTGGTTGCTGAGTTAATTTACAGCATTCTCCCCTGGTAAAATCGAAGTTTCCAAAATGGGCCCTCTCTTGGCTCTTGTCGTCTAAATAAGCTGTTTCCAGGTGTACAGAGGTTCAGTCTGCATAGGAGAAGAGGTGGGCCCAGGCCAGGGAATTTGCACCTCGTGTAATATATTTGAACAGCTCCAGGTTGAAGTCACATGGCAGAATTTGGCCAAACATTTAGGTTATAGAATTTTGAGGGGTAGTAGAGCAGCTCAGAAAACCTGCAGGGACTAAGAATTTCAATCCTACTTGCACAGGAGAAGTGTGGCTTCCTGATGAAATCTCCATTGGTATTTACCTTGGAGCTCCTTAGGGGATAAGAGGGAGCTGACAGAAAACAGTCAGTGAGAAGAAAATGCTTTCCATGGGCAAGGGATAGTAAATCATGACCCAGATTAGGAGAGTGCAGGTTACTGGTGAGCTCATCTGTTCTCATTCAAATGCTCCTAGATTTTCACATTCTTTGTCAGTGAATGAATTGCAGTTTAGAAGCACTAAATCACTCTCACCTAGTAAAGGACCTGGGTTTTTCACAGTCAGTTTATGACTGCAGATCAGAGAAAAGGCTAGATTACCACATCGATAAAGCCTGGGGCAGGAACAGCTGTTAGTAGTCCTGCTTAAGGTGCGTAGCAAAGGGAGGAAATATGTATTTGTTCTTGATTGAAAGGAGGGACATTTGGCAGGCTTCTGGGGGCTTTTCCTGTGCCTCTGCCATCCTGGGAACGATCTACCTGGCTGTGGTTCTTGACTGGTCTGTTTGGCTGTTGGTATTTCTGGAGGACTAGAAAGCAGGTATGGGAAGTTTCTCAAGCCATAAATAAATAAATCAGCTCCTGGGCATTTTCCTCTTCTCAGACTGGCTGGAGACTAAGAGTAATACCACCGCCCACAGACTGCCTAGAGAAAGAGTACCTACAAGTGCTCCATCATCCATTGCACTCTGATCTTAGGCTACCAAGGCTCGATTGATAATTTCACTGTACTGGGTGACTTTGCCCTGAAGCAGGTGACAAGGGTGTATGTAATCTTTTCACCTGCTGTGTTGCGGGGGTGTTAACCTCCTGCTGAGTGACATTAATATCACATGGTATCACAAAGTCATCCCAGATATTTTCAAATCGAGTCCTTTCAGTCTTTCTTCTTTCATTCTTGAACTAAATACTATTGCCAACCTTAATTTTTTTTTTCTACTTGTGTGAGTCTCTGGGTTTGTTTTTTTAAACTTTGATTGTGGACTAACAAAAAAAAAATCCCAATAAAGGAGCTTAGTTTGTGTTCTGAGCCTGCAGGTTTTCCAGCTTTTCTTCACAAACATGAGCAGGCAGGAAAAAAAAAATGCTTCAGTTCTTATATTTGCATGACTTCAAGACTGAAGGTGTTACTGACAACTCTAAATCTCATTTAAGCTCTTAATAAAGCAGGAAGGCTGATGACACTGCACTTACTGAGGAGCTTCAGAATGTTAAGCCTTAAAAAAAAAAAGTCCTTCCCCTTACCAGCAGCTGTGTTGCTGTCTCTTCTTGCCTGATAATTTTACAGCCCCCAAGCAAAAATGGGGTCAGCAAGACCTATTATTTGTACTGTAAAACCAAGACCCTCCCTGCAGTGTGCAAACCGCTGGCTTTTTAGGCCTTTAGCAGATACTAACAAAAACAATACAGTGGGGGATTTCTGTAAAGTCTCCTGGGGGGGTTGCTATTGCATGCTCTCAGTTACAAATTTTGGTGACTGTGCTTTTTGAAACAAAAGGGAAAATGGCTTAGAACAGCACATTCTTGCCTTTTTGCTAAGCTCCCACGAAATGCTGAGTACAGACTAAAAAGCAACATCCTTGGTGCTGCAGTGATAACAGAACGGTATCTGTCTGTAGGAGAAAGCCAGCAAGTTGAGTCTTGGCCGTGCTGCTCTTCTGAGAGGCAGTTTTGGGACTGGTGGGGGCTTGGGCCTCCTCATTACCCCTGCCTCATGGACATCTAAACTATTTACTGAGCAGTGTGTAATTACCACCGTTCACAGCGTTGTGTTTGAAGAGAATTGGTCACCAGATTGCTTGAAAGCACCAGGCTGGATATTGCCAGCGGGCACCGGGATGCACAATGGTAGGAAACGTAATGGGGAATAACTGCCCCCTGTCACAACTGAACTGGTTGTGCTTGGCACTCTGAGCCTTGGCTAGGGGGAAGGTCAGGAATGCATTTGTGTTGTCTAGCTCCCGCTCAAACCTTCCCCCTTTCAGACAGGGAGAGGAGAGGAAGAATCTTCTGAGATCACATTTCATGGACCTGGGCTTCACGTTCTTCTATCTCAGTTCCCCATCAGGTTGGCAAGGATGACAGCTGAAATAGAAAGTGCACAGATATGGTAGCAATGGGCCATGCCCCTGAAACCTATGTCTGTTCTCCTTTCCCCACCATACTTCATGAGCTGGCTGTATCTAGCAGGGCTCATGACCAAGTTGATGTCTGTCTTTGGTTCTGGCTGGAAGCAGTCAGGGCTATCCAGTGTCAGGACCCCCGCTTCCAAGCAAAATAAATCCTACTGGCGAGAAGATCCCTGGGCTGACAAAGGAGTGAAGAATTAATTCAGTGCTATACCTGGGACTGAGCGCTAGCTGAGCCACAGGCAGTAGGTGGACCCCTGATTCCTGCAGCTACTCTAGAGTGAACGTTGCCTGTTGCTGATTTTGCCTTTGCCTCGGGTTGTTACGATATTCACATGTTGCTTTCTAGGTTCTTTGACCTTCTGAACAGGTAAACGAGAGAGGGAAAGACTGTTATTAATATTCACCATATCTGAAAAACTAACAGCATTCAATGGTGCCTCATCTCCCAGATATCCCATCTCCCGGGTTGATTCTAGTTCCAGTCTAGTTTGGAAATTAGGATAAGATAAAGACAAAGGATGGACTGGCATTTTTTTTTCTCCCTTTAAAATGGTTACATTAGAAACATTCATTCATAGAGGGATTTTAAGGCAGAATGAGTCTTTGTGATCATCGTCTCTGATCCAGCATAAACTGTGTCTCTGTTTAAATGGGCTTTTTGTTTGTTTCCTGCAAACTCTCTCGAAATGTTGGGTTTTTCAGTGAGTGTAGCAGCAAAAGGCAGGGGTTTCTGGATGGAAGGATCATGGCCCCTTCTCCTGTTGCCTATTCCTCACAAGGTCTGCTTGACTTTTGAATACGTCCCACCTCCGTCTCTTTCTGGGGGAAACTAACTTCTGATCTTGAGTACAAAGTCTTAAGCTTGCCTTTGGCAGCAGTGAGCCACCGTCTGAAAGGTGGAGCTGTCTGGAAAGTAGAAGCTTCTGTGGCTTGCTTGTAAGTCAGGAGAGAAATAGAGTGTAAGGACCCTGCACAACACTGAGGAACAGGACTCTGAACTACAAAATATTTTAAGTCCTTTCTCCCATCAATCCTACCTTTGCATATACCTGTCACTAAGGAGCAGTGAGCTGGGTTTCTTTAATGAAGCTAGCACAAAAAAGATAAAACTTCATTTCGTAGAATACGTAGTAATCTGACTGCAGGGCTTGTAGAAAAATCCAGTTCCCCAGTGGCTTGCAGGCTCTTTGCAGAGCCCTTTGGCGTTGTGACAGTCACACATGTAAGCAGGCACTTTTGCTGACCTTCCTGTTAAGATGTGTAGTCAAGTTGCTCATGCAGGGATTTGCCATCCTGCATCCCATTGCACAGGGTTATGGGAGAATGCTGTGCTGTCACACGTTATACAATAGAAATGTTCTAATTAGCAAGCTTTGAGTTTTAAGTCAGGGCACTGAAAAGAGGATGAGGTCACCTAGGACAAGTATGGGAAGCGGAACGTGCTTGTTGCTGTCAGCAACAGAAACCAGGATCATCCTTTTTGCTGCTGAAACCTGGCAGAATTCATGTTATTGGTGTTGGCATCTGTCAGTGTCTAGGTCAAATGAACAGATCAAATTTAAACTCTCAACTGGGAGAAAGAGGTCCTGTACAAGGTGTATTTCCTTTGGTGTTGGTGGGCAACAGCCAGCTCTTGTATTAGATCCTCACCGATGAGAGTATGTGAGACTGCTGAAACTAAGACCTGCTGCTCAAGTGCTCCAGCCTGGCCTCCTGCTGGCACAACTCATGCTTTGCATACCCTTCCTTGCTTCTCAGTCAGCTTTGAGAGAGCTGTATCAGCCAAGGATGCAGCCCTCCTCCCTTCCTTAGAAGAGATGGGTCTTTGGCATGACATAACCCAAGCAGAGAGAGTACCCACGAGGGAGGACTCTTCTTCAGTGCTGTTTGGGATGGATTTCAGCTCTTTCAGAGACCTGGCAAGGGGCAGGGGCCACTATTACCTTAATCTTTGTCTAAGCTGGAGGCTGAACTGCCCAACCAGCTCCATTCAGGATTTGAAGCCCAGGAAACTTATAGAACTTAAAACACATTAGTGGATGTTTGAATTACTTTCTGAGTATCCAAACAGGGAAATCTATTGAGAGAAAAACTGGGAGTAATATATGTAAGCTGAAGGGGCATCAGGTCACTTGTGATGCAACCTTGGTTCCTGGGAGACTCCTTTGCAATGGGGATTACCCCATGCCAGAATTTTTCCTGGTCTCCCAAGGAAGTCAAAAGTCACAGTTGCCCCCGGCCCTGCAGGGTACTTCTCTGTGCTGGAGCTGACAATCTCCCTTCTCTGTTATTAAGGCTGAAGAAGAGTTAGTAAAGGCTCAGAAGGTGTTTGAAGAGATGAACGTTGATCTCCAGGAGGAGCTGCCTTCACTATGGAATAGGTGAGTGATGGAAGTTTTTCCAGGGAAGGAAGATGTTCTCCTTAGCTTGGCTTGGGTGTCTGTTCTTGTTTTCTGGATCATCTCAGAGAGTCTGTCCTAGGATTCCTCCCAGCCAGGCTAACCCTGGGCTTTCTGTGTTTTGCTTCATGATCCTTACGAAAAATTCCATTTTACTACAAAGTGAAACTGTGTTTCTATGCTTTGTCTGATTAGTCCCTTTGCCCCACCAACTCTGTCCAACTTCCCTGGGCAATGGCCCAGCTTCTGCTGTGGACAGTAGACAGAGTGGGCTGGGTCACTAAGATTTTTGGGTGTGGAGCTGGCTGGCTGGAAGAACATCTGCAGCTAAGTGGGTATGTCAGCTGACTGATTAAGGGAAGATGAGATGTCAGAGGGGTTTGTACAGCCACCATGGTTGGAGAGAGCCAAGATGCGATCGTTTGATCACTGTGTCTTGTCATGCAAGCTTATAACCACACGGTGAAGCAGCAGGTTTAATGTAAGAGGGAGGATGAGAGAACAGGTTGCTCTGCTTTGGATGCCACTTTCAGGTGTGGGCAGTTGGATGAACAAAGACAAGGGAAGGATCCTGATGTGGCTGCCTTCTCTTGCCCCTAAATGTTCTCCTGGCTGTGTGACACAGGACCCCGTGAGGAACAAGTGGCTGTAACTATCCTGTTGTGTTCTGTTTAACAAAACACAACCTGGGCAAAGGAATGGGCTGAGAGAATAGGAGGACTTGAGAGACCATGGATTTGCCATACCACTGATTATGGTGTTGAAAAGGAGAAAGAAACAGACCAACATTTAGCTTGGAGGATGAACTGAAGGGCAGCAGAAACTGACGTATGGGGAGCACACAGTGGAAAGCAGGCAAAATCCTCCTAGGAGTGTCCCAGTTTCTTATTTTTAAATGCAGTGATCACATCTGGGTTAGCAATGCTGGTCTGTGGGGAATGGAGAGAGTGGGCGGCAGCAGGGCGGGAAAGCAAAGTGCTGATGTCTGCCTTCACTCCCGTTTCCTCCCAGGGTCAGGACTGTTTGCTCAAAGCAGCATGCAGGCCTGGCTGAGGAAGGAGCTGGGAGGGAGCAGGCATCTGGGTGTTTCCCTGTGCAAGATGATGATGCCTCTGGCCTTAGAGAGCATCTCCCTCCTGCTGTTGCTCCTCCAGCTGGGTGCTGGTACGGCACTCTGTTGGCAGCTGGCAGGATAGCTAGAGGAAGGAGGGTGGCAGGCAGCTGCTAGGATTTTAAGGTGCCACAGGTTGTTCCACAAGTTCCTGCTATCCAGCCGATCCTTCTGCTTTCCTGTCGCTCTCTGTGCCTGTCCTGTGCTTTCTTACTCTTCTGCCCCTGATGCAAACAGTTCATGCTTTTTTGCTTCCCCTGGTGCTGAGGGACTTCAGAATGAATTAATATCTGTCCTCCTGTCAATTCTCCCAGCTCTCCCTCCGCTCCATCTGTGTCACAGCCTCTCCATCACCCTACCACTGGTGTTCTCTTTTTTTTTTTTTTTTTTTTTCTTCTTCTTTCCTTTTTTTCTTCTTCCCTGCCCCACCCCTCCCCTTCCTGCACCTTCTTCTCCCTTTAGCCAGCACAAATTCAGATCCTATCCCACCTGGCCTCCTCCTCACTTTGGACATGTTTGCTCCATACCTGACCTTTGGTCCACCCTCCTCTTCAAGCTTCTCTGCTGCCCTTCTCTTCCAGCATGTACTAAACCTGACAGAATTGAGTTTGAATGGGAATGGTTGGTGGGAAGTAGCAGAAGGGGCAGAACTGACAGTTTTTGGGAGAGCATCGTGTCCATTAAGTTCTTCTGTCTCATTTTTCATTTGGCAGTCGTGTTGGTTTCTACGTCAACACATTCCAGAGTATAGCAGGCCTAGAAGAGAACTTCCATAAAGAAATGAGCAAGGTAAGGCAACTAACAGCTTATCCTACTAATACGCCCCCTCCTCACTGTTGTTTAAAAAAAAAAAAAAAAAGTAAAAAAAAAAAAAAGAGAGCTTGAGAAAACAGAGCATTTGTCCTATGTCAGAGGAAAATGTTAACCCTTATTTTTTTCTGAGCCACTTTGGAGGAAGGCTGTCTGAGATAGTAATGTAAAAGGATGGAGCACAGGGAAGACATCACAGGGTCATGCAGCAGTGGGGAGTTTGTGTCACTTGGCAGGGCTCATTTGCAGATCCACAGAAGGAAGGGAAGCCACTTCCAGGCCTACTTCTTGTTGCCTTTTTTAGTTTGTCTACATTATGGATCTGTAACTTATAAGCTGGGCACTCTCAGCATGGTATCTGCTTCCTCTTCCGCTGCCTGGCAGCAAGTTGCTGTGAACCCTCATCTATCTAGCTGTTGAGATGAAAATGGCAGGGGATCTGCCAATCTGCAAGTCAGCTTAAGACTGAGACCCGTCTCACTCTGGTCCCTCGGAAGGCCCTTCCCAGCAGTACCTCTCTGCTTTGGCTTCTTTCCTGCCCTGTTACCCAAAAGAAGGCATCTGAGTGCTTAGCATGGCCCTTGCATGGAATACCAGTTGGCTGTGAGTTGGGAATCACAGCAGTAAGCAGTGTTGTAACCTGATGGTGGCAGACTTGGATCCTGGTGCTGTGTGCCAGCGCCCAGCAGAGATCTCAGGAACAGTCTAGGGGGAAATCGCCCATTGCCACTTTAATTTACAAACATGTTCTTGTTCTTTTACTTAAAAGCTAGATAAGTCTTGAATTCCTTAGGTCTATACATTGCTCCTAAGGGTTGCACGCCCTCTGTAAATGTTCACTAATCTTGATGAGCTACTGAGAACCCAGCTGGAAAAGTTTTGTATTCCCTCCCCTCCCCAGTGTCATCCTGACAAGAAGACAGCCGCTAAGCAACAAGTAACATTATAGTCCTTCAATTCCCAGCAGCCAGGGGCCCTCTGCCTTGGTGTAATGCATCAGTTTTGAGCCCTGCTGACATTTCATGGGGACCTTTCCAATTAATAGCCGGCTCTTCTCCACTGAGGGATGAACTGATTGTTAAGAATAGGGAGGATTGTTATAATTATCTGTTTGTTGCTGTTAACTTACATTCAGCAAAGCCTGGGAAAGTTGCTTGTTAGACAGGAATTTTCTTCTTGTGTCATGTCTTGGATTTTTCTTTCCTGAGGAGTTTTGTATGAGAGCAGGGCTTTTGCTTTGTTCCATAAGAACCATCTGTTTCTTATTACTGCTATAGCATCCAATTAACTGCTGGTGTTGCTGGCATGATGCCTCCAACATTGATTGCGTTGGATCCCTCCTCCTACCAATGATAAATCTGGCATTTCATCTTGTTTATGAATTGGCTGTTTCAGAATAGGAGTGTCTGGAGTGAATATTGCAGCCTTTGGTGCAAGGGAGAGTTTAACCCCTAATACTGCATTTCTGCAGAGATATCCAGGTCCTGCCCAAAGCTAGATGGCCCAGGCAGCCTGTGAAGTCAAGGCTTGTTGCTGACTAGAAGTCTTGCTACCTTTGGGCTCCACAGTTGAAATGGCCATATCCCAAGGTTTATAAGCAGGTCTGAGGAACAGCTTTGGCTACAAATCCAGAGTGAAGCTTTGGTTTTAGCACATAGACCCTTAGGTAAACACTCTGCCCAATTCTGCAGTGGTACCTGGCAGCGCGCTGGTGGGGGCAGGTGATAGAGAAGCAAGGAGTATGATGTGAAGGGAGACCAAGCATTCCCACGAGGTGCCAGCAGCTCTTTAACAGTTAGAGTGCTCTAGTATTTTGTACCTCACAGAGGAGTGGAAACAGATGTGGGGCTGTCCTCCCTTGGGATAGCTGAGTATGTGCTCATATATGGGCACAAGCATGTGTTTGGTCAGCCTCTGCAGGCCAGCCCAGACTCTCTTCTGGCCCTTGGGCTCTTTTCTCATTCTTTTTTCTTTCTTTTGCTTTTGTGTTTTGCAGTTGAACCAAAACCTTCATGATGTCCTGCTGGGTCTAGACAAGCAGTACTCAGCCAATGCCTTCCCCGTTAAAGCACAGCCCAGGTCAGTAACTGTGGGAGTAGTGTCTTTACCTCAGCAGGGGAGGAGGGACAGGGATTTCTCTACCATGGTATTGAAACCTCCATGTTGACAGCTGGGGAGTGATTTGACTGCCTGCATATAGCCAGCCAGTGCCCTCCTGGGACTCCCTAGAGCATGTGGAAGATTGCACTTGGGGCTGGGTGACACAATACATCTAGAATAGCATCTGGAGGCCTAAGCTTTCACTGGGTGCTGATATTTAGGCAACTGACTCTCAGCTCTTGCTTTTTTAAAGTCAAATTCCATGCACCGACATGTAATACTGAGCTGCCCTTCCTTCTGGGTCCAGCTGCCCAGTGCCTGTCCTGTTCTTTCCCTCAAAAGCTTCCACCATGTACCTGCGGCTTGTGAGCTTGGGCACCAAGAGCTGATTTGTTTCTCTAGTCTCCTCTTTGGCCCTCCAAACTCAGAGCCACCTGTTTGCCAAAGCCTTATGCCCCTCTTGTGTACCTAGCTGAGGTGCATTTCCTCTGTGTGTGTTGTGGAAGTAGTTGCAACCTCATTAATATGAGGCCTCCTGATCTCAGGGTGCTTCCAATCTGCACACGTGCAAAGAGTGGGTGTCCTCCAGGCCTTTAGTCTTTCCTCAGCTGGGTCCGGTCCTGTATAGTTAAGTGCAAGTCTGCACATTCCCTAGCACTGAGAGGGGAGGGAGAGGTCAGGCTCTGGATGAGGCTGTCTGGCTCCCATCCAAATGTGTGAGTGATGAAACAGTGTGGGGCTCTGGCTTCCAGCTGCTGCTAATCCCACATGCCGGGTGAGCAGGAGCACAGTCCAAATCCTCAATTGGTGTATTGATGGAGGGAGGAGGTGAAGTAAGCGTGAAGTTAAGGGTAAGCTGTGGTCTGAGTGCATTGATTCAGAAGGGCTAGATCAGCTATTGAGACCTCTGGGCTCCCTTTTCTCTCCTCCCAGTTTAACCTCCTGTTGCAGTTGTGCATAGATGACTTGTTCCAGCAATGTGGGTGGTGCTTGCCAGCTCTAAAGAATGTTTGAGTTGAGTTTGGCCCCTGAATTTTGAATTGCTGACACCAAATTTCCAAGATTCCAGGAGGAATGCTTCATGTGAAAGTAATATCTTCTTCCCAAGTTAGTATGTGGTGTCTGTTGGTCATCATAACCCAACAAGACTGAAGTCTTGTGAGGAGGCTGTGGTGCCCATCCTCTTGCTGCCATGTGCCACGTTGTCTCTGATAGCACCATCCTCCAGATCCTTAGAAGAGGATAACAGGATAGATGAAGGCTGTAGCTATTGCTTTGTCCAGCTCTTTCCTCCTCCTTCTTTTCTTCCTCAAGGAAGTGACTTCTGGCTGTAGTGACAGCCTAGCCCAGACATGTTTGTTGTTGTTGTGGAATGAAGTTTCTGGTCTGAAAGAGCTTCCAATGAATAAATTACCTGTCCTCATGATTCCTGCTCCCACAAACTGCTAGCTTCCTCTGGGGCTGTAATGGGTGTCTCGGCTGCAGTTCTGTACTCTTTGGCTGACTATGAGACCACATGGCCCTAAAAACTGAAAAAAAGCGCACAACACGGAGGTCCGTGTGCATGTACCAGTCTGAGTGCTGCTCTTCATCACTTACTCCCTGCATCTTGGATCAGATGCTGGATCTGCCCCAAAGCAACTCTCTTCCTCCTGAGCACAATGGAGCAGGGCAGGAGGATGTAGCAAAGGTTTGCCAGGGTAGAAAATATGTTTTGCAGTGACCAAGAAATGCTGTGAGGCACTTGTGTCTCTCCAGCGCATCTGGCCTCTTGTGGCGCAGGGCTGAGTGAGAGTGCGCAGGAGGAAATAGCCCTCGCTGATCTACTTGTGTCTCTCCAGCGCATCTGGCCTCTTGTTGTGGCGCAGGGCTGAGTGAGAGTGTGCAGGAGGAAATAGCCCTTGCTGATCTGATTGCTTATTGTGGTCTGCAGTAGGAGCAGATGCTTCCCTAACCCTTCTCTACTGGGAAAGGGATTGGAGATGGATACAATGGCAGGAAATGAATGAGGAGGTGTGAGAAGAGAGGCAATTATCTGTGCACATCATTATGGTGTTCATGTGAGGCCCCTACAGAAATATTACTGTGGCTGATGAATCTGATGCTGGCTGTGTAGCATAGTAGCACAGAGCAGCTGATGTATTTCTAGGAACCTCAGACATATGTTTGGGATTTGTTTCTGAAACAGTTTGAGCATTCAGGGCTCAGATGCCTGGAAGACCTAGGAGATCTGTAGCATTATCCTAGTACGATTGGACAAACTGGAAAAAGACAATAGTAGGAAAGCTGCTGATTAGGTTCCATGTATAAGACTGCTCACAGATCATATAAGCAAAGGAGAATGGGGAGCTTGTTTCTTGTGTAACAATATTTACAGGGAAGAGTGAGGAGCTGTGATTACCTGTGGGGAAAAAAGGACATTTACAGTTCTCTCTGCTGGTCTATACAATTTCTTTTTTGTTCTCTGTGTGCACCCTGGCCCCGTATTCCAAAGAGCAGGGAAAACACTAGTTTGATCATATATATGTAGACCTTTCACAGGCACAAAAAGCCCTTTCCAAACCAGGCCATAGCTTTTTAGGAACCAAGGGAAGCGTGTACCTGTTTCTGTGTGTGTGTTTGTGTCTGTGTGTGTGCATGAGAGAGAGAGAGAGAGAAGATCCTGTCATCTTGACGACAGTGAGTTTTGTGGTGCCAAGTGAATGGGTGCTTGGAAGCTTAACTTTTTCTCCCTGGTTTGACTGTGCCATCCTGTAATGGAAATGATTTGCGTGCCATCTTCAACAGAAAGAAAACTAAACTGTTCGCCAGGCTGAGGAAAAAGATGAGCAGGTACCGGTACGGAGAGCAGCATTGCGATACGTGTTTGATTTAGTTCCTAAAACTGGAGAGGCTGTTGCTGGACTCTTAACAGCCTGGCACGTGTTAACCCTGTGATGGGAGAGGGGTCCTTTGCATGATAAGATGTGTTTATGGCCTGCTGGGTCCTGCTGAGATCTCTCTGTGTCTGGATAATCCCATTAACTGCTTGTGTGCCTGGTTTGAATCCTTGCTTCTTTTTCCTATCTAAGAAGGCAGTGTGAAAGCTCAGGCATTGTCTGTTCAGTTGGTTTTGTGTGACTAAAAGCACGGTGCTGGGTTTTCCATGGGAAATACGGGCAATTTTGGTGATTAACAGCTTCTAGTTTTATCTAGTGGGGCTTGCCCTTTTGAACAGGTCTGAAATGCTGCATTCTGATTCCCTGCCTGGTCAGGGAGGCCCACAAGGCAGGCCTTTCACACTCAGAAGTCCTGTCCTATCTACCTGTTGCAGTTGCGAGGATGGTGAGGTGGGAGAAGGACACTTACAGCTTTGTTCCTTACTTGCTCTGTTCTTGAGGATCCTCACTATCTTGGCCCATCCATTTAAAATTTTGTGCAGGGCTGAAGGAAGAGAAAGCACGTTGTCTTGTGTAAAGACTAATGTCAGCATCTTGCCTTTCAAGACAGTGATGGCATTGAGTAACTGGATTGCTACAGTGCCTAGAGTTATCGTAGCCAAAGTCAAGGACTCCGACAAGAATATGCTCTGGAGCAAAATGGGAATTGCTGCATAATGGCATGGAAACTTCCTCTAATTTTTGTTTTTCTTAGTTTTTGTGTTGGTACTCCCTCCATGGGGTCCTTATTACTATTATTTTTTCCTACAATTTTCAAGATTATGCCCTGCCAGCAATAAAAGCAGGTGCTGGTGGATTGGGATCCTTGCTTTTCTGATCCTGGCTTCCCATTGACTAGGGCAAATTACACAACCTTTCTCTTTATGTCTGCTATGCATCCTTTGTAAAGTGCGAGGTTGGAGGGTGGAGAATGGTAATTTCACAGGGAAGCTGAAGGGCAAATCTTGATTTTTATATCCTCTGTCCAAACCACAGCACTATGCTAGTTACTAGGAAGAAAATGAACTCTATCCCAGCTGAAACCAGGACACCTCAAATGAAAAGTAGTGAAGGAACATCTCGCGTTGTTACCATTCTGAGGTTTTCTACTGTAGGAAAAGGAGGATTCACAGGAGTACTTTTCTGGATATCTGCCTCTGGTCCTTGGTTGGACCAGTGTTGTACCTGCACCAGGCAGGTGGTTTAATATTTCCAGTCTCTGAGAATGGACTGATGCTACAGCAGAAGAAGAGCTACTAAATCTCATTAAGATGAGCTCTAGTCACAACATCCTTCTACTCTGCCCTGATAAAGTCCAACTGGCCCAGCAGTTAAGGTGCCTGACCTGGGCTGTGCTGGGGGTTTCTGCTGTCAGAGCAGCTGCTGGGGTCACAAAGAAATGTGCAACCCCTGGTGCAGGGAAGGAGGGTCTGGGACTCAGTCACTCTTCGATCTGCAGCAAGAATTTAACATTTGTGCCACCATATGTTTGGGTATGTACGTGCTTTTTCCTCCTTTTTCCCACCCCCTCTTTCTTTCTTTTTTTTTTTTTTTTAATTCTCCAGCCTGCTTTGGTGTACAAAATAAATCACTTTTGCCTAAAAGGCCCTGTCTGAGCCTTAGCTGAAATGCCAACCTTTTTTTCATTTTAACTTGAGAACTTGGCAGGAGATTACTGGTCTGTTTTTACAATATTGGAAAGTAGGTGTCATTCTCTAATGTAGAATTGTTGCAAGCACATGGGAACCCCATCTGCAGATGTTACTTTGCTCTTCCAGAACTGATGAGACAGCCCCATAGAGGTCTGGGAGCTCAGCAGCACTGAAAGAGGCTTGGGGATTTTGGCTATCCCTTCAGCTGCAGTAACTGCATTAGACCCTGTTTCCAGCTCTCTATTTGCAGAAGAAAGTTGACACCCCTTTCCCTTCCCTGCCTGGTATTCTTGGATTTGGCATCACTTCCCAGTTGCTTACGGGAAGGAAAAAGATAGAGCAATGACCTTGCTGTTTTGACTTGCTTTTACTGTGGTACTCGCGTTTGGTCAGTGGGGACGGTCCCCACACTCCTTGTTTTCCCTGTGTTTCCTGGAGCAAGCAGTCAGTTTGGAGACAGGGCTTCGCTTTGTGTGGGCAGCGTGTACTCCCTGGGGACCTGTGAAGGACAGAGGATCCTGGTGACAAGCTTGCTTGAGGCTGGTTGCAACGGCTAAATGCATGCAAAGTGACAAGTGCAGGAATAAAGGTACTGCTTGGGGGGCTGGAAAAGGCTCAGCCAAAATTAGCACTGGCATTTTCCTAGGGGGATCAGCCAACACATCAAGGAAACTGTAAATAGTAGTGACTTAATGTAGGCTTCAGTGCAGGGTCCTCTCAGCCCTTGTAGGATGAGGGGAAGAAACTGGGCTGCCTCTCATGTGAGAGCCTTTTATCAATATATCTCCAAATTAAGTCACCGCCAGGCACCAGAAATAAGGCACTAAAAAGCTGTTTCATGACCTTTAGAAAGTAAGTGTGAACATTCTCACTGGGAGAAGTGGCCTCTTTAGGTTCCTAGAAGGAAAAGCCTACCTTTGTGTTGGTAGGCCAGCTGATAGCCAGTAGTCCCACTATTCCTGGTCTAGTCTGGGCATTTGAGGAGTCCTGGCAGTCTAGCTGTTGATCACTGTGTCCCCCAACTTCTCCAAAGCGATTTCAACTCTAAGGAAGGTAACATATATTTTTTTTTTCCCAAACTCTAGCATTAAAGGACATTTTCTATCATTTCCTGCTATTCCCTGGTGACTCCCAGTTAGAGCAGGGCTTCCTTACCTTCACCCTCCAACCATTACTTCCTTTAATCTGTAGCAGAACCTTGTCCATTTTGCAGAATCCTTCACACAACCCACTGTGTTGAAGTGATTTCTGGGGACCTCTGAGGAAGGACACTGTAAGCATATCCAGTCAAACTGAAGAGCTGCAGGGGTTGGCGTACATGTTCTTTAGTCCCTCCTCTTCCCTTTTTCCTCTTCCTTTCACTCTTTTTCCCTTGGTGTGTGTGCCCCAGTTTGAGAGCTGCTGGCAGAGAACATCATTGGGTTTGTTGCATCGTGTTGGTGTGCTGCTGGCATCAGTGTCATCAGAAACATCCAACCTGCATGCGGGCCTGAGAACAAGCGCTTTGTGGGGAAATGTGCGTGTGGGGTGTGAATATGGGGAGAAAGCAGGAGGAATGGATGAAGGCAAAGTGAATGAAGAGGGAATGGGATGGGAAGCTTGAAAGCTGGAATGCTGAACAGGGGGAGATGCTTGCTTGGAAGGGGAGGTTTGTTGAAATGCCTTGCTGTGTCCCTTCCTCCTCTTGCTGTCCCCCTACTTGTGAGTGTTTAGGAATGAGGCCTTCGTGCATGTTAGCCAATGACCACCACACCTCAGGCATCCAAGTGTGAGTGGTTATACATGTCTGTAGCTCTGGGGCAGAGCAAAGAAATAATCAACTTGATGTCCCTGCAGAATCAAGTCTGCATTGCTCTGGTCCTGGCTCTATGCCAGGACTTATTGTCTCAAGTTGTAGGAAAGGATCTGTTCCTTTCAGCCTTCTGCCAAAGCCTTTAACTTTGCAAGAACAGCAACTTTATAAGGGGAGGCAAATATCACTCCCTTTAGATGAGGTTGCACAGGCCTTTTGCAATATTCTGTAATATTCTGTTTTCAGCTGTGTATAGTTTTGCCAAACTGTAACCACTTTTGCTAAAATATCCCCTGCCAGTGTCTGTGCTTCTACCTGACTTGAGATAAATTGATTAGTTGCTTTTCGGGGTGCTGAATTTCAGCCAAGATGACTCAGCTGTTCCTGCAAATTAGGCTGGGAAAATGGTTACCAGTGAATTTCAACAGGGATAAAGGTAAAACCAACTTCTTATTAAATCTCTCATGATTCCATACTTTGAAGCACAGACTTAACACTTGGACAAAGCACTCCCTTAGGGAAAGGCGTGCACCTCTTGCAATTCCTTTGAAAAATCTGTCCAAGTTATGAACCAACAAATGCCATTCGCACATGCTCCTTGCATCTTAAATCCCTGAAGAATCCCTCTTGACTGTGGGTCAGAAACAGTCCTGGAATAAGGACCAACTGGAAGGGCAAGGGCAGAAGGGGTTCATTGAAAACAAGGCTGGGGAGACTTTCCGTAATAGAGAAATCTTTATCAGTAGCCAGAATCTCACTGTTTTTTTGCAGTCTGGAATGATCTGTGAAACCTCTGGCTACTTTGCCTCTCTTCCAGCTTAGCCAGTTTGAACCCAATAGAGGAATATGATATTACAGGTGTTGTGAATCTATTAGTCATAATCCATGCATGTGTCCTTGCACCACCATGCAGAAAAATTCTTACCTGTAGAATTTGAAACTAAATGAGCTGCACAGACCTCCTTTCCCCATCTGTTTCTCAGTATTAAAAGACTATGACTTGATGTCAGGCACTTACATTAGAATCTAGCAGAATTAAGGATGCCTGGTTGATTTTTTTTGTTTTGTTTTTTTGTGTCTGAGGCAAAGCGTATCCATGCAGTAAGAATTTGGTGAGTAGCCTGCTGCACAGTAATGCTGCTGCAGTGTGTTGGACTGCAAGTGACTCAGCTAAGATACTTCTCAGAAGCTTATAGAGGCTTCAAATGTCTTCATCACGTGTCTGGGCAGCAAAGCAAAAAGATTAATGGAGGCAACTGTGACCTGTGCTGGTTAGCACAAGTCCTCTTAGGCCTGGCTCAGACTTCTCTTCTCTCTTTCTCTTTCCCCCTCTTCCTTTCTCTTTCCCCTTCCTTCAGTGACAGCACCCCAGCGAAAGCAAATAAAAGCCCCTCGCCTCCACCAGATGGATCTCCCATCACCAGCCCTGAGAACAAGACTGTCAACCATGAGCTGGAGCCATCCACTTTGGAAGCACCTGGGGCAAGCATCCCAAAGTCACCATCTCAGGTAGTGTCCCCATGACATTGACCACGTCTCTGCAGTATGACCGCTGATGGCACAAGCTCCGTGAGTCAAATATGTCCATCAGTTGCTTTTTTGGACCTCTTCCTGCTACTGAGCACAAAAAATATGACATGACTGTTGTTCTCTTTCACTGGTTCCTGAGAGGTTCCTGAGAATCCAGGTTGCTCATTGGTCATGTCTATATCACATGGGGAAGAACAAAGCTGTCTCTGAATGCATCTACAGGGGGAAGGCCAGTAATACATTTTACTATCCAACAGAATGGCCAAGAAGATCCAGGGAGGATGTAGTTCTAGCTGGGCAAGGAAGTTTGTTCTTTACATTTGAATTAACCTGTGGAATTCAGTGGTCCGGTTTCTTCTCAAGAACTTCTGTAACTGAGGAAGCTTCAAAGAAAAAAGAAAATATTCATAAGGAGAACATCTGCACTTTGCATGATGTTTTACTTTAATCCCAAGGTGAAATATTATAGTAAAAATAAAGGCATTATATTCTTATGCTATGAAGAAATCAGGTGGGTACCAGGAAGGCTGTCCATTATATGGAGCCTGATACCTTCGAAGTGGCCTTTCTTATTTCTTTCCTTACACAGGAGATACCTAGCAGCATGTTTAAAACAGCAGATGTAGCTTCTGCTACTCAGCATTTCATATGATATGTTTTACTTTGGGATTTAAGGAAAATAAAACATTTACTTCCTCTTCCCATCCCTCTCTTGCTGAGTGGGGGAAAAGCTTAATAGCGAAAAATAGTACCTAGGCCAAATTTATGTCTTGTGGCAATCCTTGCATTTCAGTAAGTGGGACAACAAGGAGGAGTCTTCCAGGAAGAATTAAAGCTGAGAGGGGTTCTGGCCAAACTGGTAAGAGAAAAGCCTATTGTGTCTGAAAAGAGATGGGTGCAACCCAGAACTTCCTTGCTGTTCTCATACGTAGCGGTATGATTCCAAATCTAGGCCTGTGGTGTAGGCTGTGTCCTGTTTCTGGATAGCCTCTCACAATATTTTTCCTTCCACTGCATTTTTGATTTTTTTCAGGATTATCTAAGGACAAAAAGGGATGTTTGTACATTGACAGAAGGGTCTTTTCCAGCCTTCTGAGATGCGTGGATGCCTAGCAGTGTCTTTTTCAGGACTTCTCCAGGGTCTTTGTACCACTCAGCATTGGACAATCTAGAGCAGCTTTGCCACCACCCTGGTTTAGACTTTGGAGTAGGGTATGTGTATGGGTAGGATAGTGCTCCAGAATTGCCTTTCTGGTTTTTTTTAGAGATTGCCATAACTTGATTGAAATTTGGAACAAGAAATCAGATTTATTGAGCTGCTCACTGCAGACTTCACTCACCCTGCCTGTTGACTTGTCTTATTGAGTTTGGCTTTTTTCCTTTCCTTTAAATAGCACATATAAGCCTTGTTTTTGCCAGCCTGCAAGTGCTTTCTCATTCACTTGCTGCCTTCCTGCCCACAGGAATGGGGCTGGAGGCACCCCTTGTCGAGCAAGCAGAATATTCCGGTGCAGCCCTGGCTGGAACCTCAGATGGGCCACAGGCAAGACTGCAATGGTATTTGCAGCTAATGCTGCCACCGCCTGGCAGCTCTTTCCCAATCTATATTTAATTCATTCTCTCAGGCCTCACTTCAGTGAAGAGTAAGAGCTCCACTCCATATTTGCACTAGGTGCTAAGAGATGGAGCTGGCTGCAGAGGGAGGGAAGACAAGGACAGGAGTTTCATGCTCAGAGCCAAGCCTGGTGTATGTATAGATGAAGTCTAGAAACTTGGTGTGTGTCAGCTTGCCAGCCAGCTGGAAAACACAAGTGTCTGTTCTTTGAACAGTGCTTGACTTTAAGCTGTGAAGATGAAATCTTCACAGGTGTCATTACTTTTGACCTATGGTAAGTGATTTGTTCTAGGGTCCTCCTAGGGAGGCTAGGGGCCTCATCCTCTGGGGGAGGACAGAGGAAAAAGCAACAAGCAAGTACAATTCTCTGGCCTCTTCCTGTCTGAAATACTAATGCAAACCATAAGCAAAAGCTGTGGAGAGAAAAGGGAGCAAAACAGGAGAGACCGAATAAATACTAACTAAATTTTAAACAGTTCCCTGTGCCAAAAAAAAATTAGCTCTCTTACTGTCCTTTAAGTCTTGAAAAAGAGCTTATTTCTGTCTCTTTGGAAGAAGCGACTGCTATCAGCTTTCTGCACTGAGTGATTTGATGATGACACAGGACTTCAGGGGTCTGTGAAATTTCAATGGTCAAACTTTTGCTCTCAGTTACACCACTGAAACATTATAGTGACACTTTTGAAATCAGTGCAGCTATGTTGAATTCAGACAGGTAAAGCTCTGTGGGATCCAAGTCAGCAGAAAAATTTTAGAGGATTTGTTTTATTCTAGGTGGCAAATTTGTTTGTGCTTGATGAATTTCCAGGTATAACCCAACATCAATATGCAATCCTGTTGTCTTTGAAATGTGGTTTTAGACTGTTGTTGGAGGTAATGCTGGACACTGTGGAAGTGGTGATCTCCAAGACACTAGTGTTTTGGAAGGAAGGAGACTGACTATTTTAGAGAAATAAATAGCAGAAGAGTTGGGGGTCTTTTTGATTTTAGAGTTTGTAATTGGAGCCTCCCATTTCTGCAGATGGTGGTTCCTTTGAGAATAGCTTTTCCCTGAAATTTCTGGTCCCTTCTTGCCACTGGCAAGCAGGGGATTTTCAGAAAGGGATTGTTCTCAGAGAATATGGACGTACCACCTTCTGCAAACAGTAAAAGTTGGAAGTGAACATACTACTTTCATTATTTCCCCTAGCCAGCTATTCAGTGGAAAATGTGTGTTTGCATACTGACTCACACTCTCTAAAGTAGGTTAACCCAATAGAAAATTGTGCATATTCTTAGCAATTTGAGTAAATGCCTTGTAGAGCTCAGTTATATGCTGGAAGAGTGTGAACACAGGACGAGGAGTTGGGGATTGGCTGTGTTTCAGATCTGGCCCTGACACTGATATACTGGGTGCCCATTGCAAGATCTCGGAGTCTTGTTGCCTTGGGATTCTAGGTATGATGTGAAGATCAAGTAACTGTGTAATATCACTGTAAATGGAAAGCATTGTCATTGCTGAGCATTGCTGTGGTGCTGGGAACTTGTATGGCTGCTCTGTTCCAACACAGCAGCAGCTACTCAAAGTTTGATTTGATCTAGAAATGATCACTGAGCCTTGGGCACAGGAAAACGTGATAAGGGTGTGGATGGGTTGATCTAGGGAGGGTCTACCACAGCTTCCTATGGGGCTGTGGATGCAGTGTCAGGCTGAGTCTTAGCGTGGTGATGGGTGTTAGGATGGGTTAGAGTTACAGGGTCAAACTTTATTATGTGTTCTCTGGGATCTCCATTTGGGAAACACAATTTCGTTAGTGTCAATGCTCATTGGTGAAACTGAAAGCAGAGTTGGGCTCACAGCAGTCATGGCTTCTCAGGAGATTTGAATTGTTCTTGCTTAAAGCTGAGAAATGGTGAGATGCCATCACAAGCTCCTTCAGACCTTTCTTATGGTACGCTGATAACCAGTGCACCAGGGAACCAGGACTGGATAGATCAGAGTTGGCCCTCGTGGTCACCTACCTGTAACAGGACAAATTGAGTCTGATCTCTCATTCCCCTAGATACGGTAAGTACGGCAAAGGGAGGCAGTGCTGGCCTGGGCTATTGAATGGTGTTCTCACTAAATTGATCTGCTCCCTTCCCAGTGGTTCTTCTGAAGGTTTCACATGCTTTAATTATGTATGCATGTCCTGTCAATGCATATTAATTGTGTTACGCTTCTCCTCTGCAGAGGAAAACTTGCCCGCAGCTGAAGTGTAACTAATGATGCCAAACCTTCTCTGGAGGCATGTGGTTGTTTTTTTTGTTCTGTTTCAGTTCAGCCCTTCTCCCTCCCTCTTCAGATGGAGTTGATCGGACCTACTCTGTGCCTGTGGTTATGATTTCCCCCACCTTCAGTTTTGTGGCTAACCTGGTTCCTGTCTCTGGTTTTTTTGGGTGTCGCCGTCTGTGCTGTGGCCGTGTGCTCACTTGCATGCAGTTGAGGAAAGGGCCTCCGGTGCCTCCGCCTCCAAAAGTGACCCCCTCCAAGGACATCAAGCAGGAGAACATCATCAGTCTGTTTGATGACAATTTTGTCCCTGAGATAAGTGTGACAACCCCTTCGCAGGTTAGCTGCTATGCCCTGCCTTATATTTGTCTGCCTCTGAACTCTTCCTTTTGACTTTTCTTGTCTTCAGAGGTGTCAAGCCATGAAACCTGGTCAGGTGAAGGAGGAAGGCAAACTTGGCATTGGATTTCAGAAGGCAAAGGGTTAGATAGGAGGCTAACTTAGAGGGGAGGATGGCTAGAAGGCAGCTTTGACTAACATACTGCCCTTTGAGAGCTTTCGTTCAAAGAAGAAACGGGAGAAATGCAACTAGTAAAGATGCCAGAAAGTAATCGCTGCATTTGTTCAGCAGCAATGCGCATGGATTATGGCTCCCCTCATATCCCATGATAGGCTCTCTCCAGACCCACTGATCTAGGGTGTGGATGAAGCATGTGTTTTCTGCTCTTGTACGTCCCCAAGTGCTGACCCTGGCATCTGTGCCAGTTCTGGGAGAAGGCAGTTTTGTGTGCTCTATGCCTTCACACATGGGCTTTGTGGTTTAAAGCCCACAGCTGCACGGGAAAGGCCACCAGGGATTGCTTGAAGTTCTCTTTGCAGAGAATAGGTGCCTCTAGTTTAGACAGGCAGGATTGTACCTGCTGTGAGTTCAGGACTGCTGACACAGTCTTGTCACTCTTCACTAGCCATTTCTTTTTTGTCATGTGGCACCTCTTAGAAGCCCTGAAAAAGGAAAAAGATTTTCAAATTATGTCTTTTCCTCTTCACTTCCCTTTTGATTTTACATCACTGCAAGAGAGGATGCACAGGTAGGGAATTCTGTGATGGATCTAGAAGAATATCATTCCTTATGTATATAGGAGCCTGACCAGATTTCTGGCTGTATCATGAGAAACCTGCATCTACTTTTTTTTATATATACACACTTTTTTTTTTAATTTTTTTTTTTCCTAAATGCTTGTTAAAGCACAAGTAATGTCTCTATCAGTGCTCATCTGTGACTCATTCCCTAACTTTTCCTTGCATCATGCTGCTCTATTGCCTCTGGTTTGCCACCTTCCACCCAGCTGCTGAGGAGCAGAGGTGGAGTGGGGAGGGAAGAAAGTCCGTGTCAGGTTTTGCGTTGCAATAGATAAAGCTTGCGGAGCAGAGAGGTGATTGACAGCAGTGTTGGAAGGCGGGGACCACAGGCAGCTGAGCAACTCTCTTATCATTTTCTGTGCTTCCTTCTCCTGTATCATAATGGACAGCTCTATCTGCCCCATGGTTTTGTGTCATGTATTTCCCTGTGAATGCCAGCCCTTAGTCAGAGGTACTCTTTTTGCATCTGATCACTCTGACCCAGGATAGGATCTCCTGTGAGTCTCAATCAGATGGGCGTTCTGACAGAGGTCTCTGGTTGCCAGAACAATCTTCACTGAAGCAGCCAACAGCCACTAGCATCTAGTGTGTTGCCCAGGGCCATTCCTGTCAGATCTCTTGGCTCCAGTGAGCTTTCTTGTGGGAGATCTGGGTAAAGGCAAGGAGTGATAGGCCTTGCATGTTACTCTTGATTGGCAGGTAAGATTATTCCATAACTGGAGCCTTTGATGTCTCACTACCAAAACCCCTTAAAGATTGGGGTTGGAGCCTCTCTGATGGGTGGTCTGGATGTGCTGGAGGAGTGTACTAGAATGCCAGTTGGTTTTTGCATATGGGCAGGGTTTATTATTGTGAGATGGGAGACCTTGGTTCATTGTCCTTATCCCCGTGGATCTCAAGAAGGTATGTTCATAAGGGAGAGAAAGATCTGCAAGAGAACTGGAGAAAGAAGAAACTAGAGGAGGTGAAAATGATGGTGGTGTGAGTTGTATTCGGAGGACTTTCTCTTAAATTGGTGTCTCTTGCTGCTTTCCAGAGAGTTTTTCCACTGTGAGGCTATGAGATAACTGTGGAGACCAACCTGCCACACTTTGAGTTCTTGGAAAGGTAGCTGAAGCAGTGCGGCCAGTGAGCTGGGAGGTCAGTGGAAACAGGGGCAAATCTTCCTGGGCTTCCTGGAGAGAGCAGCTTCCTCTGAAGCTGAGTAGAAAGGAGTGTCTTAGAGTGGCTAGGTTAAATCTAAAGATCAAAAGTGCTGGTTCAGTTTTGAATACTAATGACTCATGTCTTTTGTAGTGACTGTTTTATTAATGGTAATCAGGGAATGTGCCATCAATTGTCTTTAGAGTGTTAATCAGTCAAAGGGAGTTACTCTGCTGTCTTTGGAGAGAGTAGCAAAGCCTCTCAAATTTATGCTTTGTTAGAAGACTCGCGTGTGCATGTTTCTGGGATGTCCAGAAATGGAAACCATTGGAAAGAGCATTTTTGGATTGGAGAGTGATTCAGATCCCTTAGCTAGGGTGAGCTGCCATATTCTGTGTTTCTGTCTCAGAACTTAACTCTGAGGTCTCTCAGAGTTGCCTTCCAGCAGTTTGAGTGGTTTTCTGCCTGGATCCGTGTTCCTGAGAAGTTGTATGTGGCTGAGGGAGTCTGTACTGGGCCTTCAGTACAAAGGCAGCTGGATGAGCTACAGATACAAGTAGAAGAGAAGCCCTTCTGAGTTGTCAGTGATCCCTTTGACCACAGCAGGTCAGGCGCTTATGCCATGTCAGCTCATTTGGCCAGGTGGGAAGATGAATGAGTCCTGTGGAAAAGGCTCAGGTTTGGTTTAGTGGCACCCACGTGAACTGCCCGTGATTATAGGCATCAAGCAGTCAGGAGTTGCTTCAGGTGTTTGCATTGCCACCATGTCTTCTGTGCTTGCAGCTTTAGCTCCTGGGTATCACGTACCCTCCCTCTACTGTGCGCGTGTGTGTGTGTGTGTGTCTAATGCTCGTACTGCTTTTCTTCCTCACTGCTGCCAAGTTTGATGCCCCTGGGCCCTTCCAGGAGGGAGCCAGCCTGTTGGATCTGGATTTTGATCCCATTAAACCAGATGCCACTGTGGGGAAGACCCCCACACCCGCCTCCCAGGTTGGTTCATATCACCATTCCTTCTGCCTTCATAACTGACTTGTTGCCAAGTGTGGCGTGACATGCACCCACGTGAATGATAATGTGGATCTGAGCTGTGGGTGGCTGGGCTGGGTGCCCAGACCTGTGCCTTGCAGATGGGCACCTTGGTCTCTGCTGGATATGTAAGTCCAGTGAGAATCAGGTGGCTACTAGCCTGGCCAAAGTCTGGCACTGGGTGTTTGTGGGGTGATTGTGCTTTGCTGTGATGACCTGCTGATTGATAACTCGTTCAACTTAATGTATGTCCCTCCCTAGATTAGCATCCTCTGTATGCTATATGGATTTAAACTGTTACTCTGTGGACAGGAATTCAGCCTCAGTTCTGTGCTCCTGCTATAAACTGCTCTCAAAGGGATTTTTAATAAACACCCTGATAATCTGCAGTTACTTAAGGTGAATAAAGCTGTAGACTGATATTCAAGTGATGTGAAGCCCTTTTTTTTTTTTTTTTTTTTTTTTTCCTGGATGTAACGTAGCCTCTGTTCCTAGTTAAGAATTGGCTTCCTCCCTGGGTGTAGTGCTGTGCAGTGCAGTATCAGAAAGGAAGATGCCTAATTCTGGTCTGGCCCGTACATGGCCCCGTCCATTGTCAGAGGCAGGTGGACTGTGCTTCATTTTGTGTCTAGATGGCTGGAGGCTTTGAAGTGCATCCTGAATTTGGCTGTTGTCCTCACTGAGACTTTCCATTTCATATGTATGAAAAGGTTATTTTTTGCCTGTGGTAGCCATTAAAATTTGTAATAAACATAATTGGGATGTTTACAGTATTTCTCCAGTTTCATCATGTCAAGTAGGCCTGTATGACAGATTTTTGTAGTAATAAGGCCTCCCTTATTAGAGAGATCAAACATTAGACATTTGATTCTTCTAAATTAAAATACTGTATCTACAAAATACTAGTTATTACCATAGTTTGATACGCACCAATATAGCAAGCTACCACATTCTGGAACTTTAAGTGGGCAGATTGTCATTTCGTGTCTGCTTGCCTGACAGAACAAGCTGCAAGCCAGGATAAGCTTTTTTTTTTTTTTAAATTTATTTGCTGGATTTTTTCTTTTTATGAATCACCAGTTGATAACTTGGATAATTGGGTATACTGGCATAGGATACGAGTATAAATTTGACTTAAAATTGAATTATTTGTCACCCTTCCAGCAAGCAACAAATATTACAGAGTCAGTTTTTCAAAACTGCTCAGCAGTGGCATACTTGGTATTCTAATGTATTTATTATTGGCTTCAGAAGTCATTAAAACAGAGTCTGAAATCAATACTTTCTAATGGTAACCACAGCAAAACCCACCTAGTTTTCAAAGCAGTCAAATTTATTTCCTGTAGGGTGGGTGGCAAAGAGGTTAAGATATTTCACTACTGATTCAAAGACACCGGTTGAAGTCTTGTTCTGAAATCATACTAAGTCTATTGGGTGTGGATATATGGGAGCATATTTAACCCTGATAGGCCACAAACTCATGAGGTTTTTTTTTTTTTTTCTGGCTATGTGGTCTGCCACTGGTAACTGAATGTGGCTTGGCTGTCTCCCTTCATACCAGAGGTAGAAAAAACTCTTACTCAAATGCATTGGTACTTAAATTTGAATGTGCAGTGGAGAGGGGTGTATAAATTCAGGTACTAAAAAATATTTTTAAAATGTGCAGAGATAAGTGCTGTTGAATGTGTATGTCTGCTTCAGTCTGATCAGCACCTGTAATGTTTGTACTCACTGAAATAATCACATATAAACATGTTTTATTTTTGTTGCTCTTTGACATGCTTAGTCTTTACCTTGGGATTTATGGGAGGTAAGAACTTCATATGGCTTTCATCTCATCATGTACTGTGCATGTGCCAGTGCCATCTCTGTGTGCATACCCGTGTCCTTTCCCATGCTGCTT